GTTCCTGGAGCACCCCAGGGTGTCTCTTGAACATCCCAGGCTGTCCCTAGAGAATCCCTGGACCACCCCAGGGTGTCTCCACAGCACCCCAGTGCTACCCCCACAGCCCCACATGCTACCCCGGGGGTATCCCATCCCTATGGGTGATGCCATCCTCATCCTGGCACAGGGCTCCAGTACAACATATCCCTGGAGGAGGGGACCCCGGCTCGGGCCATCTTCGACTCAGGGGCACGGCGCCTGCTGCAGCAGCACCTCGAGCTGTGGCCGGAGCAGCCAAGCTGCCTCCGCTTCCCATTCCACGTCCTGGTGAGCCCCTGGGGTGCCCCCGGGGCATTCTGGGTGTCCCTGGAGCATCCCATAGCACCAGGGCCTCACTGGGACCCACTCATCCTCCCCAGGACACCACAGACTACCTGCGCCCCCTCAGCATCACCCTCAGCTTGGCCATGGCTGATCCCAATGGGCCGGTGCTGGATGAGGCATCACCCACCACTATCCGGAAGCTGGTGGGTGCTGGGATCCCTCCCAGGATCCTTCCCCCCTTCTGGGCATGGGACTCACACCCGGCTCCTTCCAGATCCCCTTCTTCAAGGAGTGCGGGGAGGACAACGAGTGCGTCACCGACCTGGTGCTCCAGGCCTCCATGGACATCGTGGGCTCCAGGTATGGGGGTCCCCGGGGCGTCCCCAGGGCTGAGCTGTGCTCTGGGGCTGTGACCATGCTGGGTGCTGCAGGCAGAGCCCCCACATCCTGCGCAGGGGCAGGAGGAAGGTGCTGGTGGATGTGGTGCTGGAGAACAGGGAGGAGAATGCCTACAACGCCAGCCTGGAGCTCCGCTACTCTGGCAACCTCCACTTCTCCAGCCTCACGCTCCAGGTACGGGGTCCCCCCCATGCCTCGGGGTCCCGTTGGTCCCACATGGGCCCCTCAACCCATCCCGGGTGGGAGATGGGATCCCTGCTCCCACGCCAGCCATAGGTGACCTGTGTGTCCCACAGCAGGACCCCAGCCCGGTGAAGCTGGAATGCTGGGCACTGCCGGGGCACCGCCGGCTCTGCAGCGTTGGGTACCCCGTGTTCCCCTCACTGGCCAAGGTAGGGGACAGGGGACCCCCCCCCAGAGCACCCATCTCACCCCATTGCCACCCATCACTACCCCATTGCCCCTCATTGCCACCCCATTGCCACCCATCACCACTCATTGCCACCTCATTGCTACCCATTGCCACCCATCACCACTCATTGCCACCCACTGCCACCCCATTGCCACCCATCACCACTCATTGCCACCCCATCGCCACTCACTGCCACCCCATTGCCACCCACTGCCACCCCATTGCCCCTCATTGCCACCCCATTGCCACCTCATTGCCACTCATCTCCACCCCATTGCCACCCCATTGCCACTCATCACCACCACATTGCCACCTCACTGCCACCCATCGCCAGCCCATTGCCACCTCATTGCTACCCATTGCCACCCATAACCACTCATTGCCACCCACTGCCACCCAATTGCCACCCTTCACCACTCATTGCCACCCCATTGCCACCCCATTGTCACCCACTGCCACCCCATTGCCACCTCATTGCCACCCACTGCCACCCCCATTGCCACCTCATTGCTACCCATTGCCACCCATCACCATTCATTGCCACCCACTGCCACCCCATTGCCACCCATTGCCACTCATTGCTACCCACCACCACCCCATTGCCACCCTTTGCCACTCATTGCCACCCATTGCCACCCACTGCCACCACATTGCCACCCATCGCTACCCATTGCCACTCATCGCCACCCCATTGCCACCCATCACCACTCATTGCCACCCCATTGCCACCCATCACCAGTCATTGCCACCCATTGCCACCCACTGCCACCCCATTGCCACCCATTGCCACTCATTGCCACCCATTGCCACCCATTGCCACCCATTGCCACCCATTGCCACCCACTGCCACCCCATTGCCACCCCATTGCTACCCATTGCCACCCATCGCCACCCCATTGCCACCCCATCACCACCCACTGCCACCCCATCGCCACCCCATTGCCACCCCATTGCCACCCACTGCCACCCCATCGCCACCCCATTGCCACCCCATCGCCACCCACTGCCACCCCATTGCCACCCATCGCTACCCACTGCCACCCCATCACCACCCATTGCCACCCCATTGCCACCCATAGCTCTCCTTTACCCTGGAGCTGGAGTTCAGCTGCTCCGTGCTCCTGGACCGAGCCAATGTCACCCTGGAGGCCAGCAGGTAGGAGCAGGGTGCTGGGGGCTGCACCCATAGCACCGGTATTGGGGGTGTCCTCAGGGTCCCCCTCCCTCCCCCTCCCTGCAGTGACAGCTCCGAGGCCAGGCAGGAGGACAACGTGGTCCAGCTCTCGGTGCCCATCCGCTACCAGCCCGACCTCTTCCTCTCCACGTAGGAGACACGGAGCAGGGATCAACTGGGGGGGGGGGGGGGGTTTATGGCACTGGGGGTGTTTATGGTGCTGGGGGTGGATCCAATCCCGTCTCATCCCACAGTGATTCCAACCTGCGCCGTTACGAGATTCACCCCCCTGGCACCTTCCCCCATGGCCCTGGCCCAGAATTCCGGACCACGGTGAAGGTGGGACATGGGGGGTGGGATATGGAGGTGCAGGATCTGGGGGTGTGGGATATAGGGATGCAGTATATGGGGATGCAGGATACAGGGTGTGGAATGTGAGGATGAGGGACGCAGGATATGAGGCTGCAGGATGCAGGGGTGTGGGATATGGGGATGTGGTATACAGGGATGCAGGATACAGGGGTGTGGGATGGGGGGATGCAGGATACAGGGTTGCAAGATACAGGGGTGTGGAATGTGGGGCTTAGGGGATGCAGGATGCAGGGGTGTGGGATACGGGGATGTGCAATGTGGGGATGTGGGATACGGGGATGCAAGATACAGGGGTGTGGGATGGTGGGATGCGGGATATGGGGATGCAAGATACAGGGGTGTGGAATGTGGGGCTGAGGGGATGCAGGATATGAGGATGCAGGATGCAGGGGTGTGGGATATGGGGATATGGAATGTGGGGATGTGGGATACAGGGATGCGGGATACAGGGGTGTGGGATGGGGGGATGTGGGATATGGAATGTGGGGCTGAGGGGATGCAGGATATGAGGATGCAGGATGCAGGGGTGTGGGATGGGGGGATGCGGGATGTGGTGATGCAGGATATGGGGATGCAGGGGTGTGGGATGCGGGGATGCGGGATACGGGGCAGTCCGGGGGGGTCTCACCCCGTTCCCCCCCAGGTGCAGAACCTCGGGTGCTTCCCGGTGCGGGGCCTGTCCCTGCGCCTGGCGCTGCCCGCGCTGGGCCCACGCCAGGTCCCGCTCCTGCCGGTCACCCACGTCCTGACCCACAACGTGAGTCCTGCGGGGGGGGCGCGGGGGGGGTCCCTGCACCCGCTGCGGCTGAGCCCCTGTGCCCCCCCTCAGGCCACCTGTGTGCTGCGGACCCCCCCCGAGGGCACGGCCGCGGTGGTGCCGGTGCAGCCCGAGGACCTGCAGCGCGTGGAGCGGCTGGTGAGCAGCGGGGGGGCAGCGCATCCCCCCCCCAGCACCCCCAGACCCCATCACTCCCTGTCCCCCCCCCAGGACTGCACCAACGCCTGGTGCCAGGAGCTCAGCTGCCGCCTGGGGCAGCTGCACCGCGGGGACGAGGTCTCGGTCCACATCCTGCGCAGCATCCACACCGCCTTCTTCCATGGGGTGAGGGGTGCGGGGGGAGGATATGGGTCATGGGGGACATGGGTGATGGGAGGATATGGAGGTGATGGGGGGGTATGAGGTGGGACCATCCCATCCCATCCCATCCCATCCCATCCCATCCCATCCCATCCCATCCCATCCCATCCCATCCCATCCCATCCCATCGCATCCCATCCCATCCCATCCGTTTCCCCCCAAGGCTCCGTTCCGCAGCGTGCGGGTGCTCAGCAGTGCCTGGCTGCAGGTCCCGCCCAGCAGCGCTCTGGTGCTGGAGGAGGGGGCACAGCGCAGGGAGGTACGAGCCCCTCGAGACCCCGCACCCAGTCTGGGGCGCAGGCGGCAGGGACCCCCCCCCAATTCCCACTTTCTCCCTGTGGCTCCTCCTTCGCCCTGCAGATGGTGCTGGAAATCCTGCAGGGGAAGCGGGTGCCGGTGTCCCTCTGGATCCTGGTGGGCAGCATCCTGGGGGGGCTGCTCCTCCTGGCGCTCATCATCTTCTGCCTCTGGAAGGTGAGATGGGGCCGGGGGAGGCTCTGGCCTTCATCGCCCTGCTCCCTCCATCCTCACCCTCCATCCTCTCCTTCTCTCCCCCAGCTCGGCTTCTTCACTCGCAAGAAGCCCCCCAAGGAGGAGGAGGAGGAGGAAGAGGAGGAGACGCAGTGAGGGCAGGAGGGGCCCCTGGCGCCCAGCACCGTAGCCTTGGGGACCACCAGGGGCTCGGGACTCTGCCCCCCCCAACCTCGGCTCCATCCTTGCGGAGGGCGATGCCTCCGCCGGGGCTGGATTGTGCTGGCACTGGGATGCAGCCAGAAGAGGTCGGGAGCAGGAGGAAGGAGCCCCCCAAGTGTCACCTGCAGGGTCGTAGAAGTGGGGAAAAAGGGGGGAAAGGAGCAGCTCCACCAATAAAGCTCAGCTCTGCGGAGGTGCTCAATGCTGGTACCCGGGATACAGGAGCATGTGGCACCCAGGATGCTGGATTAGCGTGGTACCTGGGATGCTGGAGTGCTGGTACCCAAACCACCCCCCCTCTGCCCAGGGGGTCTGACAGCACCATGGGGTGATGCTGTGAGCACAGTGGGGGTGTGTGGTGTAAAAGTCAAATAGGGATGAAATGGCACAGAAAGGGGGGGAAGCCCAACGCAATGAACGTCCCCAACAAAGAGGGGACGGACCAAAGGGAGGGCTGAGGTGGGTCCCCACCAGGGTTTGGGGGTGAAGAAGCCGCACAGGTCAAGTGGGTTCCTAAAGGTTGCCTTTAATGTGGTCCATAGGGTACAACCCGGAATGGTGCTGGGCAGGGGGAGGCTTGGACAGACCCAGAGGAGCCAAACCCCCCTCCCCCCCAAGCCACTAAATCCTGCTCAGAGCCGGGGCCCAAGCACGCTCCCGTCCCCTCGGCCTCACCTGAGACACCTCCAATGGTGTGTGACAGCCACCGCTGCTCCAGTGCCAAAGGAATCCCCAGCCAAATCCTCCTGGATTCACTCCCAATCCCCTCCTGCTGCCAGGGGGCAGAGGGGAGAAGCCCCAAATCCCCTTTCCCACCCCAACCTCTGTGACAGGAGGGGGCTGCCCCCCCTTGGGATGGGGTAAAGGGCTCCCAAAGTATAAAACTCAAGGCAAATCACTCCAAAAGAAAGGAATTTCGGACTAGAGAGGCGATTCCAATGGAGACACTGGGAGAAGGATTCGGGAGAGCAAGCCAGCACTCAGTGCAGTAGGTCCCTCCCTGCTCTATGGTTCCTGCTACTCTGGGTTGGAATTGGAATACAATGTACATTGGGGGGGATGCTCCAGGCAGAGCCCCCCGGGAAGCTCCGCAGCATCAGAAAGTCCATCGCTCCTGCACTTGGCTGGCAGAGGCCTCCGGCGGGTGCCGGCTGGAATCCTCCCCCTTGAGGCTCTTCCTGCACACGGGACACGTATCGTGCTGCAAGAGAAAGGGGAGGGATGAGGGCCAAGAGGGATATGGGGTAAGAAGGATGAGGGACAAGAGGGAGACGGGGTAAGGAGGACGAGGGACAAGAGGGATATGGGGTAGGAAGGACGAGGGACGAGAGGGATATGGGGTAGGAAGGATGAGGGACGAGAGGGATATGGGGTAAGGAGGATGAGGGACGAGAGGAATATGGGGTAAGAAGGATGAGGGCCAAGAGGGATATGGGGTAAGGAGGACGAGGGACAAGAGGGATATGAGGTAAGGAGGATGAGGGACAAGAGGGATATGGGGTAAGAAGGATGAGGGACGAGAGGAATATGGGGTAAGAAGGATAAGGGACAAGAGGGATATGGGGTAAGAAGGATGAGGGCCAAGAGGAAGCGGCTTCAGGCTGCACCAGGAAGGGTTTAGGTTGGATACTGGGAAGAGTTTATCCACCTAAAGGATGCTCAGGCTTTGGAACCAGCTGCCCAGGGAATGGTGGAGTCATTGGAAGTGATCCCAAACCGTATAGGCAAAGCCCTCAGTGCCATGGGTTAGTGGTGGGGAATGGACTGGAGGAGCTTAAAGGTCTTTTCCAATCTGACTGATTCCAGGGTTCAGGGAATGCTGCTCAAATGGTTGCTTTCCCAGGGGGATTATACCTTAACATTGAGATGAGGATGGATGGAGGAGTGGAATGAGAAGGAATGGTTTCCAACAGGAAGAGGGAAAGAGCTAGATGGGATATTGGGAAGAAGGGTGGTGGGACCCTGGGAGGGGTTGAAAGGAGGAGGTTTGGACATCCCATTCCTGGCAGTGCTCAAGGCCAGGGTGGATGGGGCTTGGCACAACCTGCTCTAATGGAAGGTGGCCCTCCCAAGCCAGCCCATTCCAGATTCCCAAAGGGCCTGGAGCCGGGACAGAGGCTCTTACCAGCTCTAACCAGGGCACGATGCAGTTGCTGTGGAAGAAGTGGTTGCAGGGCAGCTGCCGGACCTGCTCGGCCACCGCGTAGTCCTCTTTGCACACCGGGCACTCCAGGCCTGTATCTGCAAGAGACATGAGGAGCTTTGGCTCACCACAGGGCTCCTGCACAGCCAAACTGGGACCAGCAGCATTCCAGAGCCTGGGACTGAAGACAAGGAAAAAGGATCAGTTAAACTCAGGTGATTTGAACTGAATCTTCAGGTTCGCAAGGGGGATGCTTCCATCACCCATCCCTGTGCACTGAGAGGTGGTAAACCCCAGCTCCCTGTGATGCCACACCACGGGCATCCCAGCTCCAGCAACTCCAACAGAAGAGACTGAGCATTCCAACATGGATGTCTCCTGGCCAGAAAGAGACTTTGGTGTATTCAAAACACCAGGCAAAACACAAGGAGCTGTTGTGGAAACTGCTTTTCCCATCACTTGGTCCCTTTGGAGCAGCTGAGCTGAAGGAATGGAGGAGCTCAGAGGAAAAAGGACAAACACAGGGAGAAAAGAATCCCTGGGATGAGCTCATTGCAAAGCCAGGAATGTCTGCAGAAAACCACAGGAAGGCAGGAGTTTCACATGATTCCAGAGCAGGAACATAGTCAGAGCCAAGGTGAAAGAGGAGAAAGCAAAGCCCTGTTCTGGGACCATGACCTGGAGACCGGGACCAGGACCAGGAGACTGGGACCAAAGAGAACATTTGGAAGCCACTGGGGGGGTGTCACCCCAAAGAGGTGCCACAAAGACTGTGGAATGATGGAGGTCGCTGCTGCTGGTGGGAGCTGTGCTTCGGAGGTGCCAGCACTTCCCAATGCACACCCTGGTGGTGATCCAGGCCTCCATCAGCCAGGGAATGCCAGGGTCACCATAAAGCCTGAGGGGACAAGTGACAGGGGGGTGGCACCTACCGACTTGTTCCTGAGTTACTGTCACTGTGGGGAGGGAGGAGATCTTCTCCTTGTCAGCAGGAGGGGGCCCAGTGTTCTCCAGCTGCCCCAGGAGCTGTGGAGAGGGAAACAGGATGAGAAGGAGGAGGGATCTGCCTTGGAATCAACACATCAACAGGAGCATCGGTCCCTTCTGCTCATCATGGAATGGGTCAAAGGGACCTTGAAGCTCCTCCAGGTCCAAGCAGGGCCAGCATCCACTGGGCCACGTTGCTCTAAGCTCCATCCAGCCTGGCCTGGACCACAGTGGGTCTGCACTTGGGCTGAGCTGTTTTCCCAGTGTTACAGCTCCATGCCTGAGGAATTTCATGCTCTGACCCAAATTCACTCAACAACAGCTTCAAGCATGGTCAGGGAAGGTGCAGAGAAGCCTCACTGAGCTCTGGAAGCCACCTGAAAGCCTGGGATGGGCAGAGCTGCTGCTCCGGATCCCATGGGAAGCCGTGGAGCCTGTGCTGGGCTGTAGGGTGGGAGGAAGGTGCCAGCTCCCAGCAGCCATGTGGGATGCAGCCTCCTTTGGGGAAGCAGGGAGGAGGGTGGGAGAGCCAGGGGCTCCTTGGGAATGGCACCAGATGGATTCAGCACGACAGCAGCAGCCAAATTAGCTCATGGTGAAGCATCCATCTGGGATGCAGGGATGGAGGCTGGACACCCCCAGTGCAGCAAGTGGAAGGTGTCCCATGGCTCTAGATGAGCTTGAAGCTCTCTTCCAACCCATCCCACCCCATGCTGACGCTATGAAGCCTCAAAGGAGGCAGCCACAGCTTCCAGGAAGCAGGACAGGGCTCATCCCTCTATGAACCACAGCAGGAACCAGCTCTTGGGCTGAGATCCTGTCTCTCCAGAGGAGCAAGGTCTGAGGCCCCTGGAGAGGCAGGACACAAGCAGCCACCCCCCCACGAGCAGAAGGACCCAGCTCAAAACCAGCACACAAGGAGGGTCGTACCTGGGTGACGATGGCATCGAGGCCACTCTGTCCCCAGGCATAGTCTCCGGGGTTGGAATGCAGCATCCCGCTCCTGCGGGCGGGAGCAGAGGGTCAAAGGAGCCCTTTCCCTATCCCAAAGAACCTCTGGGCTGTGCACAACCCTCCCCACTGGGAAAGCAGAGCACCCCAGCACCAGGCAACTGGTTTGGACTGGTCTGGACTGGTGTGAGCAAAGCCACATGTGCTACTCACCAGGAGAAAGGGTGCTGGGAGCCAGGAAGTGCTGAGTTTGCAAAGAAGCCTGCAAAGATCTGCTGGATTATGCTGGGGAGGGAGCGACAGGAAGAGGAGAGCAGGAACAAGGTGAGCATCAACCCCAGGGCAGCAACAGCCCAGCAGGAACCCCCCCAAATCCTGCACAACACAAGCCCAAGGCAGGACAAGCACAAGGGCAGGGGGGATGAGAGCTCTACCCAGCATTCCCAGTAGCTCTGGAACAGGCAAAACCCCCTTTCCCTATGCACAACTGATTCCAGCTAAGGGGGATGAGGGCAGAGCATGTAGTGGGCAAACCTTTGGTCACCCAGAAGAGCCAGGACCCTGTTTTCTCCACCCATTTCCCCCTCCAAATCCCACCTTTTCCCATTGAGGGGACAGGGAGGTGCTGCCCAAGGCACTCACCCCTCGATAGCAGGGGACCTGTCGGGGCGGGAGCTGCCCCGGGCCCGGTACCTCCGTGTCATGGGCAGCCGAGGGGGACGGCTGGGGCCCCAGAGGTCAGCATGGGCTTGGTGGCCCCTCTCGGTGTCCCTGTTGTCCTGCTCCAGGGAGCTGCTGCTCAGGAAGGGTCGGAAGTCTGGGAAGAACATCGTGTGGTCCAAGTGGTCCCAAAGCTGGAGGAGGGAAGAGAAGGGGGAAGCCACATGGAGCCCATCCCGTGGTGCCGCGCTGCCAAGGCGGAGGTTGGGAAGTCCACCTCGCCAGCAGCACTTCAGCACATTCCCATGGTTTCCATGGCTCCCAAGGGAAAAAAGCTTGGCTAAAGTGCTTAATTATAGCCCAGCTCATCAGCTGAGCCACCCCCAGGAAGCCCAACACGGCAGCTCTTCCCTGCAACAGCACCCATCCCATGCAGCCACCCAGGGCTCTCTGTGTCTTAGCTGGGCCTAAAACCCACTTGGGGTTGCTCCTTCCATCATTCCCTTGGCTCCAGCTCCCATGGATACAAGTAGGGGGTTTCTAAAGTGGGTTTATGGCAGCATCAGAACGAGCAACCAAGGAGCACTGGACAAGAAACATGGGAGCATGAGTGCAGAAGGGATAGCAAAGGAGCAGCCTTGGATTGAGGGTGGGAATTCCATGCTAACCCAAGGGATAGCAAAGGAGCAGCCTTGGATTGAGGGTGGGAATTCCATGCTAACCCAAGGGATAGCAAAGGAGCAGCCTTGGATTGAGGGTGAGAATTCCATGCTAACCCAAGGGATAGCAAAGGAGCAGCCTTGGACTGAGGGTGGGAATTCCATGCTAACCCAAGGGATAGCAAAGAAGCAGCCTTGGATTGAGGGTGGGAATTCCATGCTAACCCAAGGGATAGCAAAGGAGCAGCCTTGGATTGAGGGTGGGAATTCCATGCTAACCCAAGGGATAGCAAAGAAGCAGCCTTGGATTGAGGGTGGGAATTCCATGCTAACCCAAGGGATAGCAAAGGAGAAGCCATGGACTGAGGGCAGGAATTTGATGCTAACCCAAGGGCTGTTCTCCACGTAACCTGGAGCAGACCCTCACTGGGGGTTTGGGAATGGGGTAGGAAAAGAGGCTTCCAGCCCTCACAGCTCCTGCTCCATACCACAACACACGAGTTGGTTGGGATGCTGCAGATGGTACAACACAGTAGCAGCAAGCAGGAGGAACACTTCCACGTACCCCAACACATCCCAGCACGGGGTGGGAAGGAGGAGCAGGAGAGCAGCACCCACCTCTGCAAACTGTGTGGCCGGGCTGTCATCGATGCCGCTGCCATCGAGGAAGCTGGAGGAGAAAGAGGGGAAGGAGAGGGGGTGACACTTCCAAAGCCACATCCCACTCCAGGCTGAAACAGAGGGAGCTCGGGAGCTACCCCAGTTTGAATCCTGGATGGGCTTGCAGGGGACCTCAAAGCTCATCTAAAGCCATGGGACACCTTCTGCTAGAGCAGGTTCCTCCAGCCTGGCCTTGGGCACTGCCAGGGATGGGGCAGCCCCAGCTTCTCCATTCAACCCATCCCAGGGTCCCACTGCCCTCAGCTTCCCAGTATTCCATCTAACTCTTCCCTCTTCCTCTTGGAAGCTGCGCCTCCTCATCCCATCCCTCCATCCCTTCTCATCTGAATGTTCTCCCTTTGTGTCTTCAGTCTCCACAGCAAGAAGTCCAACCCCCCCCCCCCCCCAAAAGCATTCCCTTTACTTTGGCATTCCCTCTCTTCTCCCTGTTTTCCATAGCTTTGGAGAGCAGAAACCAGGTCAGGAACTACCTGGAATCCTCAGTGACCTCCTCAATGAAGCCAGACTCGCACCGTGGGCACGTGTATTCCTGCCAGGACAGAGGAAGGTGGGATTAGCCACCAAGGCTGGGAATTCAGCTCCTCAACGTCCACATCAAAACACCACCGTGGATTCCTGCTGCCTCCCTGTGCCTGGAAAGCCCAAAAGCAGCCGGAGCAGAGGGATCCTGATGCTCCCCATGGCTCCTCACACCAGGAATAAAGTTCCTGGGAAAAGTCTCCTCATGTGGAACCAAACCCCAAAGCCCCCAGTGAGCTTCCAGGCCCTGGGATCCATCCTGCAGCTCTGGGTGGCATCTGTGGGCTCTACTGCATGAAGACCCATCAGAGCCCCACCAGAGCCCCATCAAACCCCACCACAGCCCCACCAAACCCCATCAAACCCCATCAGAGCGCCATCAAACCCCAGCAGAGCCCCATCAAACCCCACCAGACCCCATCAAACCCCACCAGACCCCATCAAACCCCATCAGAGCCCCATCAAGCCCCCATCAAACCCCACCAGAGCCCCATCAAACCCCACCAGAGCCCCATCAACCCTCATCAGAGCCCCATCAAACCCCACCAGTGCCTCATTAAACGTCATCAGAGCCCCATCAAACCCCACCAGGACCCCATCAAGCCCCCATCAAACCCCATCAGAGCCCCATCAAACCCCAACAGAACCCACTAAACCTCATCAAGATCCATAACATACCCATAAAACCCTATCAAAGCCCTATAGAAACCTATCAAACCCTACAGAGACCCATCAAGCCCCAACAAAAAGGCACCAAAGCCCATTAAGACCCCCCCCCCCGAGGCAAGAGCTCATCCCTAGGGAGCCCCAGGAGCGGTCCGAGGGGGAGGGCAAACAGGAGGAGGGGAAGGAGAAGGGAAGGAGCTGGGGGGGGGGGGGGGGGGGGGGGCCCCCTGCCTGCTCCCCGCAGCACCCCATAGGGGCCGCAGCAATCCCCGAGGGATCTCCCCCTACCCACGGCAGGAGGGGACTGAGGGGGTCTCAGCTGGCTTTGGGGGCGGGGGGTTATGGGGATCAGGGCTAACACGGAGCGGGATTCCCGCGATACCGGGACACGGGGGGGGGGGGGTCAGGGGCAGCCGCTTAGGCCCGGGCCCGGCCGCACGCGGGAGCACTCCGGGGCCGGGGCCGAGGCCGCGCTCTTCCCCGGGCCGAGCCCGGCGCTTACCGGTAGCTTGGGGCTGACCTCGCCCTTGCAGCTGTGGCAGAAGAAGCGGTGCTGGGGCACGGCGGCCGCTGAGGCCTCCGCCATCTTCTCGCTCCTGCCGTCAGTCCTCCGGCGGGCCAGCGAGGCGGCGCTTCGCAGGGAGAGAGCGGCAGCGCCGGCACGAGACCACCCCCCCCACCACCAACCCCGCGCTAGCCACTCACTTCCGGTCGGCTCGTCTGCTCTCAGGGCCGATTGTCCAGCGCGGAGCAAGGGGAGGGTGCGGGATAGAGCGGCGCCGGAAGTGCTGGTTGCCATGGCGGCCGCAGCGGCCCGGGCCTAGGTTGGAGGCGGGTGAGTGAGGGCCCGGTGTGGCGGGGGGGGATACGGGGCGACATTGCCGACATTCGCCCTGTGCCCAGCGCCACCCAGGGCGTTGAAGCGCCGCGGGGATGACCCAGGCGGAGCTGAAGCTCTGCTCCCTCCTGCTGCGGGAGTACTTCGGGGACATCGTGGAGACGATCGGCACGTTCCTCATCCGGAGCGGGCCGCAGCCGCTGCGCCTCATTGCGGCCGACACCGGGCTGCTGCTGGACCAGGTGCGGTGGGAAACAGCCCCTGCCCTATGGCCGGTGCCCCATCCTTGCCTCATCCCTGCCCAGTGCCCCATCCCTGTGCCCCAGCAACCTATCCCCCTTGGCCCGGTGCAGCTTGAGGCCGTTCCTCTCGTCCCATCCCTTGTTCCTTGGTGCCCAGCGCCAGCACACCGTGGAGCAGTGGCCCTGAACTAACACCCACCAAACGCCACCTCACCACGAGGAAGAACTCGGTGCTGAGGGTGCAGAGCCCTGGCCCAGGCTGCCCAGGGGTGCTGGAGCCCCATGGACACGCTCTGGGTGGCCCAGGCTGGGGGCTGGTGTGTGGGGACGTGGTGGTGCCCCAGGGAGCTGGGAGCCTGTGGTGCCAGGGAGCCTCCTTGCAGGTGAAGAAGGCGCTTTGTGTGCTCATCCAGCACAACCTGGTGGGTTACCAGGTGCAGAAGCGGGGCCTGGTGGAGTACGAGGCGCGGTGCCGGCGCGTGCTGCGCATCCTGCGCTACCCCCGCTACATCTACACCGCCAAGAGCCTCTATGGGGACACGGGCGAGCTCCTGGTGGAGGAGCTGCTCCTCAACGGGCACATGAGCATGAGCGCGCTGGTGAGGAAGGTCGCGGACAGGCTCACCGAGACCATGGAAGGTGGGAAGCTCCGCAGGGGGCAGGATGGCGGCGCTGGGGAGGTGGAAAAGGAGCTGCCCAAAGTGGGCTTGGGGAAGGGACACCTTCGACTGGGGCCTTGGGCACTGCCAGGGATGGGGCATCCAAACGTCCTCCATTGAACCCATTCCAGTGTCCCACCACCCTCACAAGGAGGGGCTTCATCCCAATATCCCATCTCCCCTCTGGCAGGTTAAAACCATTCCCCCTTGTCCCATCCTTCCATCCCTTGTCCAAAGCCCCTCTCCAAGGTTTCTTATATCCCCTTTTGATTGGAATCAGGATCTTAGACTGGCTTGGGTTGGCAGGAACCTCAAACCTCATCCAGTCCAACCCCTGGCAATGAGCAGAGACATCTTCAATAAACCCCATGGGAATGTTGCACCCCCAGTCCCAAACCACCCTCAGAGCATTCCTGACCACCAGCATCCCCTCACCCTTCGGAGCCACAGGCACCACCCTGACACCACCATCCCTCTCCCTATGGATTAGATGGGAAAACCATGGAGTACAGCGAGGTGGCCAACACCTTTGTGCGCCTGGCAGACACCCACTTTGTGCAGAGGTGTCCCCTGGTCCCTGAGGGCCTCGACACCCCCACGGTGCCCCCTCCTCCTGCGCCCACATTGGTGCTCAATGAGAAGGACATGTACGTGGTGCCCAGGATCAACCTCGTAGGTGAGACGCCCCTCGGTCATTTTCTGCTGCCCTGATCCCACAGGGATGGGTTGGGAAGAGCCAATTCCAGCTTCTCTGACAGGGAAAGGGAAGCGGAGACGCTCGTGTGAGGAGGAGGATGGGGAGCACCAGGCTAAGAAGCAGAAGCAGGATGGAGAAAGCACTGAGGTACCCAGGACATGGAGCAATGTCATCTGCAGGGCATAAAGCGGGACCTTTCCCTCCATTCCATCCCTCCTTCCCCCCATTCCATGCCTTTTTCCCTGTTCCCAGCCTCCTCCTGACGATGGCATCTACTGGCAAGTCAACATTGACCGCTTCCACCAGCACTTCCGGGACCAGGCCATCGTCAGCGCCATAGCCAACCGCATGGATCAGGTCTGTGGAATCCCTTGGATCCTCCTGCCCTTCCTCTCCTCCTGTTTGTGGTCGTAGCGGGGATGTTCTGACCCCGCACCACCTCCAAGCAGGGTCACGATGGTTGTAACTGGAATGACCTCCAAGTCCTTTCCAACCCAACCCATTCCGTGGTGGGTTCCTGCTGCAGGGATTGCTCAGAACTGAGGTTTTCCCACTGTTTTCTCCCGTTCCCAAATCCAGACGAGCAGCGAGATCGTGCGGACGATGCTGAGGATGAGCGAGGTGACCACGTCCTCCAATGCACCCTACACACAGCCGCTCTCTTCCAACGAGGTCAGTTCCTGCTTCCGGGTTGGGGTCCAGCAGGAAAGCACCCGGAGCCTTGGAAAAGCTCCATTTTACCCCTCTTTATGTTCTCCTTGTAGATATTCAGGTCTCTCCCAGCCAGCTACAACATTGGGAAGCAGGTTTTGGACCAGTATCTGACCCTGTTGGCAGATGACCCGGTGAGGAAACGTGCTTGTGGTTCCTGTCCTAGTGCAGGAGCTCTGGGGGGTTCTGAGCCTGCCCCATGTTCTGGGGGCATCTGGGGCTGAGGGAAAACCACTTTCCTATTGGATTTCATGGAATCATGGAATCATTTGGGTTGGAATTGACCTTAATGCTCATCTAAAGCCATGGGGAGGGACTGGATCAGGTTGCTCCAACCTGGCCTTGAACACTGCCAGGGGTAGGGCAGCCACAGCTTCTCCATTCAGCCCATTCCAGTGTCCCACCACCCTCACAGGGAAGAACTCTCTCCTGGTACCCCACCTAAACCTTCCCTGTTTAAGGTTGATCCCATTCCCCCTTGTCCCATCCCTCCATCCTGGATGAGGGTCCCTCTCCAGCTTCTGCCTCTTCCCTTGCAGCTGGAGTTCGTGGGGAAGGCAAGGGACAGCGGTGGGGGCATGTTCACTGTCAGTATCCTTTGGGAAGCAAGAGCCTGACCCCCTCCCCATTCCCAGCACATGAAACATTCCCAAGTGCTGCCATTATCCCTTGACCTTCACCTCGCACCGATCTCCACAAGGCCCTGGCGTCCCTGGCCACAGCCACCCTGGAGTCCATTGTGGAGGAGAGGTGAGGTGGCCACTTGGGGCCTTCATGGGCTCATTCTCCATGGGCTTTCTCCCACCTCCTGAAGTGTTCCCCTCTTGGCTCAGGTTCGGCTCCCGCTGTGCCCGGATCTTCCGGTTGCTCCTGCGCAAGAAGCACCTGGAGCAGAAGCAAGTGGAAGATTTTGCCATGATCCCGGCAAAGGAAGCCAAGGACATGCTCTACAGAATGCTCTCGGAGAACCTGGTGACCCTGCAGGTGAGGCTGGAGGGGATGGAGGCCAATGGAGCTCCAAGGTGGTCCCACGTGGGAGCGGGGCTTCGCTGGCTCCACCACCACAATACATGGGTCTTCACCACCACCACACATAGGTCTTCTCCAGCACCACCACAATACATGGTTCCTCTCCAGCACCACCACCACATATAGCTCTTCTCCAGCACCACCACAATACATGGTTCCTCTCCAGCACCACCACCACATATAGCTCTTCTCCAGCACCACCACCACACATAGGTCTTCTCCAGCACCACCACAATACATGGTTCTTCTCCAGCACCACCACCACACATAGCTCTTCTCCAGCACCACAATACATGGTTCTTCTCTAGCACCACCATCACCACGATACATGCTCCTCACAGTGCAGCCATTGGGTTGTGATGGACACGAGGCCCATCGAGCGCTTCCCCCTTCTCTTTGTAGGAGATTCCCAAAACTCCTGACCATGCTCCCTCCCGCACCTTCTACCTGTACACCGTGAACGTGCCGGCCGCGGCACGCATGCTGCTGCACCGCTGCTACAAGGTATGGCCACAAACACGTGTGCTTCACCACCACCACCATGCACGGGGGTTCTCTTCTATCACCACAATATGTGTGGTTCTCCTCCACCACCACCACCCCATGAGCAAAGGTGCCTGTTTGTCCACCCCTGTATCCCCTCACATCCTGGGGACCCCATGGCTGGGTGCAAACACCTTGTCAACCCTCATCAGACCAGAGGCTCATCCATTCCCATTCCCCCTTCCCAGAGCGTGGCCAACCTCATGGAGCGCCGCCAGTACGAGAGCAGGGAGAACAAGTGAGTCCCCAAAGCCACCCTGTCCCTGTCCCCATGGCCCGGTGCAGGGTCCCCAAAGCCACCCTGTCCCTGTCCCTTGTCCCCCGCAGGCGGCTGCTGGAGAAGTCGCAGCGGGTGGAGGCCATCCTGGCCTCGCTGCAGGCCACAGGCGCAGGGGACACGCAGCTGCAGGACATCGAGGAGATGATCACAGGCCCCGAGCGCCACCAGCTCGACACGCTCAAGCGCAACGTCAACAAGTGAGGGGCGGGATGGGGAGGTCCCTGTGTCCCTCTGCATCCTCCCTGTGTCCCCCCATGTCCCACCGTGTCCCCATGTCCCCAGGCTGGATGCCAGCGAGACGCAGGTGGACGAGACCATCTTTGTGCTGGAGTCGTTCATTGAGAGCACCGTGAGGCGGCCCTGAGGGGACAATAAAGGGACAGAGCCCAGGAACGAGCGTGGCCTTGGTGGTCTGTGAGGGTGTAGGGGGGTTCAAGGGTGGGGGTGTCCCCTGCGGTGCCACTGAGGTGGTGCTGTGTGGAGCAGATCCCTGTTGGAATGGGACAGGAGCCTGGGCTGGGCATGGAATGGGGACCTCAAATGAGGAATGCTGGTGGGACCCGGAGCAGCAGCACTGGGGGCCAGCGCCTCTGGCTGTGGGGAGAGAACATCATCCACCTACCCACCCATCCAACCCATCCATCCATCCCCACATCCGCACCCAGAGGCATCCAGGAGCCACTTCCTGACATTCCCAACCCTTCCCACCATGGCAGTTGGGGTCCTGCTGCACAGCACCAGCTCCCAATGGATTTCAATACCTTTATTGCATGGAAGCACCCACAGCACCTGGGCTACAAGGCCTCATCCCAGTGGAATCCTGCTCCCTGCTGCCCCAGCCCAAAAACATTCCACTTGGAATTCCAGGAGCCACAACCCCTATTCAGTCCATAGATAACCTGGGCAACATCACCACCTTCAGTTATCCCTATGTCCATTGGGAAAATGGGGGAAAAATGGGGAACTATCCATGCAACTGGAATTACAGATCCTGTGTGTGTTCCCTGACCAGCCCCAAGCTGGAAGGAAGTAAAAAAAGAGTGGAAAAAGGCAGGTTTGGCTTTTAAGAATTGCACTGGAGGGATGGGGCACCCAGACTCTGGATTCATCCCAGCCTTTCCCATTGGCTTCTTCCCTTGAAAAGCAGGGTTTCTTCCCAGCTGGAATTCTGCTTTTGGAATTCTTGGACTCTGTATTGGAATTCTTGGAGTTCTATAGAGGAATCCCATGGGATAGAACCAGGCTGAAGATGCTGCTTCCAAAGTCAGGGGGTTTGGTTTAACCCTTGGGAAGAGGCACTTCCCAACCCACCATCCCAATCCCAGTGGGTACAGCGCTCACCAGCACAAGGGGTGGGAATTGCCCAATGCAGTGGTCAGGTACCACCTGGAGAAACCAATCCCTAAGGCCAGCACTCGGCCTTGTGTCCCATCTATTCCCAGCGGGAATGCCGCTCAATCTAGGGCGATGATGTCTGATCTGCATCCCGGCTGTGCTGTGGGGCTGCTCTGGAGTGTGGTGGTGGCCACGATGCTACTTGTTTGATGGGATCCGGCCATGGACATGGGGGTGACGCCAAGGAAAGGCCTGGAAGCGCTTCCATATGGGAAGAGATGGCTGAGGGCATCCTGCTCCTGCAGGGAGGTGATGACTGAAGGGCTGTAATGCTGCCAAGCAATGGGAATACCTCCGTCAGCTCCTGGTACCCATGAAACCCCATCCAAGGGGATGGACCCATCCCAGAGCTTCCCAAAGCCACCACCCAAATGTACCTGGTTTTCACTTGGAAGGAAGGAAAACAACTCCAGACCTAGAAGAGGAAAAAAGGGGAATAAACTTCCAGTGGGAAGGGGAGGGAGTTCTAATGGGTCCAGCCCCCTTCTCAATGAGATCCCAGCATCCTGACAGCTCCCCAAAGCCGGAAGGGCTTCGGATAAGGGATGGACGGATGGGACAAGGGGGAATGGCTTTAACCTGCCAGAGGGGAGACTGAGATAGGGTCTTGGGAAGTTACTCCCTCCACCTACCCACAATGGCTGTGCTGACTGGTACCTTCAGCCAGAGGGACCTGGGGTTACCTGCAAGCTCCGAGTAGGAAGGGTGGAAGTCAGGAACGGGCAGGCTGGAGACATAGTCCCTGCCCAGGGCTGCCATGGGAGCACTCCGGAGCACGGAGGATGGCCGGGGGTGGATGTTCAGCACCCTGGAACACAGCAGGAACATGAGGAGCATCACTGGGAGCAGCCTGGGAAGAGCCAGGAGCTGCCCCCTGAGGTGCCACATCCCAGCATAGGAACACCGGGAGCATAGGGGGTGCTTCGTGAGAGCTGCATGTGGGGAGGGGAGGGAGCAGGGAATGAGCAGGAAGTAAACAAGGCACGAGCAGGGAATGAGCTGGGAATGAGCAGGGAATGAGCAGGGAAGGAGCAGGAATTGAGCAGGGAATGAGCAGGGAATGAGCAGGAAGTGAGCAGGGAATGAGCAGGGAATGATCACGGAATGAGCTGGGAATGAGCAGGAAGTGAGCAGGGAATGAGCAGGGAATGAGCAGGGAATGAGCAGGAATTGAGCAGGGAATGAACAGGAATTGAGCAGGAATTGAGCAGGGAATGAGCAGGAATTGAGCAGGGAATGAGCAGGGAATGAGCAGGGAATGAGCAGGGAATGAGAAGGGAATGAGCAGGAATTGAGCAGGGAATGAACAGGGAATGAGCAGGAATTGAGCAGGGAATGAACAGGAACTGAGCAGGAATTGAGCAGGGAATGAGCAGGAATTGAGCAGGGAATGAGCAGGAAGTGAGCAGGGAATGAGCAGGGAATGAGCAGGGAATGAGCAGGAATTGAACAGGGAATGAGCAGGAATTGAGCAGGGAATGAACAGGAAGTGAGCAGGAAATGAGCAGGAATTGAGCAGGGAATGAGCAGGAATTGAGCAGGGTATGAGCAGGAATTGAGCAGGGAATGAGCAGGAATTGAGCAGGGAATGAGCAGGAATTGAGCAGGGAATGAGCAGGAATTGAGCAGGGAATGAGCAGGAATTGAGCAGGGAATGAGCAGGAATTGAGCAGGGAACGAGCAGGGAATGAGCAGGAATTGAGCAGGGTATGAGCAGGAATTGAGCAGGGAATGAACAGGAAGTGAGCAGGAAATGAGCAGGGAATGAGCAGGGAATGAGCAGGAATTGAGCAGGGAATGAGCAGGAATTGAGCAGGGAATGAGCAGGAATTGAGCAGGGAATGAGCAGGGAATGAGCAGGAAGTGAGCAGGGAATGAGCAGGAATTGAGCAGGGAATGAGCAGGGAATGAGCAGGAATTGAGCAGGAATTGAGCAGGAATTGAGCAGGGAACGAGCAGGGAATGAGCAGGAAGTGAGCAGGGAATGAGCAGGGAATGAGCAGGGAATGAGCAGGGAATGAGCAGGGAATGAGCAGGGAATGAACAGGAATTGAGCAGGGAATGAGCAGGAATTGAACAGGGAATGAGCAGGGAATGAGCAGGGAATGAGCAGGAATGAGCAGGGAATGAGCAGGGAATGAGCAGGGAATGAGCAGGGAATGAGCAGGAAGTGAGCAGGGAATGAGCAGGGAATGAGCAGGGAATGAGCAGGGAATGAGCAGGGAATGAGCAGGAATTGAGCAGGGAATGAGCAGGGAATGAGCAGGAATTGAGCAGGGAATTAGCAGGGAATGAGCAGGGAATGAGCAGGAATTGAGCAGGGAATGAGCAGGGAACGAGCAGGGAATGAGCAGGGAATGAGCAGGAATTGAGCAGGGAATGAGCAGGGAATGAGCAGGGAATGAACAGGAATTGAGCAGGGAATGAGCAGGGAACGAGCAGGAAGTGAGCAGGGAATGAGCAGGGAATGACCAGGAAGTGAGCAGGGAACAAGCAGGAAGTGAGCAGGGAACAAGCAGGAAGTGAGCAGGGAATGAGCAGGGAATGAGCAGGAAGTGAGCAGGGAATGAGCAGGGAACGAGCAGGAATTGAGCAGGGAATGAGCAGGAATTGAGCAGGGAATGAGCAGGGAACAAGCACGAAGTGAGCAGGGAAAGAGCAGGGAACGAGCAGGAATTGAGCAGGGAATGAGCAGGGAATGAGCAGGGAATGAGCAGGGAATGAGCAGGAAGTGAGCAGGGAATGAGCAGGGAATGAGCAGGGAATGAGCAGGGAATGAGCAGGAATTGAGCAGGGAATGAGCAGGGAATGAGCAGGAATTGAGCAGGGAATTAGCAGGGAATGAGCAGGGAATGAGCAGGAATTGAGCAGGGAATGAGCAGGGAACGAGCAGGGAATGAGCAGGGAATGAGCAGGAAGTGAGCAGGGAATGAGCAGGGAATAAGCAGGAAGTGAGCAGGGAAAGAGCAGGGAACGAGCAGGAAGTGAGCAGGGAATGAGCAGGGAACAAGCAGGAAGTGAGCAGGGAAAGAGCAGGGAATGAGCAGGAAGTGAGCAGGGAATGAGCAGGGAACAAGCAGGAAGTGAGCAGGGAAAGAGCAGGGAAGGAGCAGGAAGTGACAGGGAATGAACAGGGAATGAGCAGGGAAGGAGCAGGAAGGATGGGGAGCCAGGGCCGGCCCCTGCCTCACCCCTTGTGCCCGGGGGCGCTGCTGAGCGGCCGCTGCCTCTTGGCCACCGGTGGCTCCTCCTCGTCGGACGAGTCCCGGGTCAGGTCGATCACCTCCGCCCGGGGCCCGGCGCCCGCAGCGGGAGCGGCTGCAAGGGAAGAGCCGGCGTCAGCTTCCAGAGCGCAGGCCCCGAGCCCACCCATCCCCAGGGGAGGCGGCAGCGTTCCTGCTGTTCCCAGCACAGGGCCTCTGGTGCTCCTGCTGGTTTCAGTTCAATCCCAAACTCCGGCTCCAGCCCGGGCTGGGGGATGCTCCGAGCGCTGCTCTGCAAGTTGGAATTCCAAGCGTTCTGGCATCCCAGGCAAAACTGGTGAGGAAAAAGCGCCCATACCCTCAATGCCACCGAACACAGAGGTCTGCCCCATGTCCTGCTTCTCCTTCTTCAGCTTCATGGGGCACCAGGAGCCATCCTCCATGAACTGGATCTCGTCACAGTCTGTGCAGGAGTTGAGGATTTCCACAAACAACCTGCCAGGAGAGAGCACAAGCACCCCATGGAATCCTGCAGGGATGAGACAAGGGGACCGTGCCCGCCCCATCCCTGGCAATGTTCAAGGCTGGGCTGGATGGGGCTTGGAGCAACCTGCTCTAATGGAAGGTGTCCCATGGCTTTTGACAAGCTTTAAGATCACTTCCCACCCAAACCACTCCAGGAGTCCATGATTCTGGAGTAGAACTGATGGAGCTCAGGAGCTGGGCTCACGGGGTGCAAAGAATTAAGCCCCTGGGCTAGCATCACCTGCACGTTTAGCTTTAGGCTATACAATGATTGTAACAAAGGCTTCTTGTTCTTTGGGAGGAACCTCTCCAGATTGGATCAGTTTAGGGAACAGAGTCACATCCCGTGTTATTCCAGGCTGTAAGCTGTGTCAGGATGGCAGAGATAAGCCTTAAAAGAAAGCCCTGACCCTGCGCAAGGAGCCCTCAAGCTCACCCATCGATGATCAGGTCGTCATATGGGGCTTTCTGGTCACACACAGGACAGGTCCACGTGGGCTTCTTCTCATTCATCTGCAGGTAGAGGGCTGCATCGAAGCACTGCAGGTGGCTGCACGTGGTGGCTCTGCAGGGCACCCTCAGCCTCATCTTACCCAGCTGAGGGACAAGAGACAGGAGCTCAGGGGGGTTTATCCAGCCTCTTTCCAGGGCTAATTCCCATCTTGCCCCTGCCCAGCACATTGACCTGAGCTCAGTGTCCAAGAGGAGTTAATGGGGGAGAGAAAAGCTTTCCCTGAGGAACTGGTGCCCTTTGGGTTGCTTTTGAAGCTCATTCCACATGCTAAGAGTGAAGGGGAAAGGCAGGGAGAGGCTCCCCAGAAGGCTGTGTGAAAGAGCAGCAGGTTTGCTTGCCTTTGGGCCTCAAAGCTGGCTCCTTTGCTACCAAAGCAGGGCTGCAGCAGCACCTACGCAGTGGTTAAGGTCAAAGCAGGAAGCTCTTTGCAAAGGCCCAGCCAAGAGAAGAGGAACATAAATGTAGAGACCTACTGGACACAGCAGGGACACGCGTAAGCTGGTTGTAGCTATCTCACTGTCGGGATCAGCAGTTAGCTTTTCCTTGACTGCAAGAAGAGGAGGGGAGAGAAGGGTCTCCTGTCATCATCCTCCTTCTTGGACACGCAGCGACACGTACACACGGGATGGAGCGTTCCACATCACCCGGAGGTGCTGGCACAGGCTGGCCAGAGAAGCTGTGGATGCCCCATCCCAAGGCCACATGGTTGGACGGGGCTTGGAGCAACCTGCTCTAGTGGAAGGTGGCTTTAGATAAGCTTTAAGGTCCCTTCCAACCCAAATTCCATGGGGAATCCATGATACCACCATGTGTTAATTGGATGAGTAAACCCAGTGTAACACCCACGTGGGCCAGGCAGGCAGAACTCCCAAGCCAGGCTGTCAAGCGAATCCCATCGACCAGCTGGGAAAAGGCTGGGAAACCCCAACAGGGACTTACTGAGGGCTCGGGAATGATCTGGGTTTCGGATGCCCTTGGCCCGGAGCTTCTGCAGCAGTGCCACAGCCGTCAGCTGCTTCACCAGGTACACGGAGAGAGAGTAGCTCTGTTGGAGAGAGCCCCGCTCAGGAGAGGCCTCGGTGCCTCTGCCAGCCCATCCCTATGGGACGCGGAGGGATGGAGCAGCAGCTCCCACCCCACTCACCCGGCCCAGCTCCGAGGACCAGTTGACCACGAGGCTGTTGGGGACAGTGGCCGAAAGCCGCGCCAGGGGTGTGATGTTGACCGGGCGGTTGGGCCGCTTGGGCTCAGCACCACTCTTGCTGGGGGGCAGGTAACCCTGTGGGGCACAGAACCTTGAATGAACCCTTCCCAAGGTGTAAAGGCCACCAATGGGCACCTCCAACCCCCTAGAATGGGTTGTGAAGGAGCTTGAGATCATCCGGTTCCATGGGCAGGGACAGCTCCCATTGGAGCAGGCTGCTCCATGCTGCATTCTCTTCACCATTCTCTTCTCCAGCCCCAGTGTTCTCAGCCTGGTTCCTTGGGAGCTGCTCCAGCCCCTGCTCATCCTCGTGGCCTCCTCTGGACTTGCTCCAACAGCTCTGCATCCTCCTTGTGTTCAGGGCACCAGAGCTGCACCCAGTGAGGCCATAAAGCCACCTATGGGAGCCTCCCGCCTCCATTCCATCCTTCAGGATGTATTTCAAGTCCTGCTTTAGAGCTTGTCTGGGAATTGCTCTACAGATCCCAAAGTATTGTTAGTCCTTGTTATTCATTCCTAATGGGATATTAGGATTGTGGATGCTCCATCCCTGGAGCCCACAGGGTGCCTGGAGAACCTGTGGCTGTCTCATCCCAAGGCCAGGTTGGAGGGGGCTTGGAGCCACCTGGTTTAGTGTAAAGCATCCCTGCCCATGATGGATGATCCAACCTAAACCATTTCAGGATTCCCTTATTGCTCAAGGAATGAGGGATAAATGGTCCCTTTAATGTCCATACCATGAGGAAGCAGTCCCAGTGTGAGCTCAGCTCCAGCACTGGCACTCCAAGGTGCTCACAGGGCAGGTTAAAGCCATTCCCCTTGTCCCATCCCTTGTCCCAAGCCCCTCTCCACCTTTCCTGCAGCCCCTTTAAGCACTGGAGCTGCTGTAAGGTCTCCTGGAGCCTTCTCCACACACTAAAGGTGCTATTCCATGGATCTCAGCTTTTACCAAGGGCAGGCTTAAGGCTCCAAGGAATCCAGAAGGAAGGAAGATTTACTCACGGGCAAGGGACAGAGTTTGCCATTGACCTTGACGAATAAGTTAGGAGGGAAGTGATCTTCCTGGGGGCAGCTGGTTTCACACAAGCAGAACCTAAAGGAGAAAGTGGCCAGTGAGTGGTGACATTCCCAAACTTCCCTTTGCCAAGCAGAAATCCCTCTTCCCCAAGCGGAATGGATCCAGGGCTGGAAAACAGGAGGTGAACAGCCCCACACGTGCTTCAAACCCTGTTTCAACACCACTGACTTCAAGGGCTTCTCTACATCAACTCCCCGCCTGTGGCTGTGTTGGCATCCCCTGCAAGTCCTAATCCTGCACAATCCCAAGGCTCTGGGTTCCTCTCCAAAGTGCCTGCTCCCTGAATCCCACCATAGCACTGGGCTGGAGCAGGACCTGGAGCCAGAGGTACCTGGAGTTCTTGCTTGGGAACACACACAGAGTAGGAAGGAAGAGATGGTGCCCACCACCTCTCCCATGAACGTCTGCTTCCCTGGAAAGCTTCCTTTTGGAAAACCCTTCATCCCTGCCACCCAGAGCACGGCAAGAGGCACATCCTGAGCCTTGGAAACCATGCACCCAGGGGCTGTCCTGTGCTACAGAAGAACCATTTCCATGCATCCACCTTGCCCCTGGGACCATCAAGGCCTGCTCCAGTGGAATGTGATCCTGCCCATGGAGCTGGATGGGCTTTAAGGTCCTTTCCAGCCCATTCCAACCATGGGTGAATGTTGGGAAAGAGTCACCCCAGCTCCTGTTTGGTGCCACCAAGAGGCAGAGGGTGCTGGGGAGGCACCTCCATGGATTTTACCATTCCCACTCTCCATATGCCATGGACTGTGTTGAGTAAGAGCTGAAGGAAAATCAAATGTGAAGCTCAGGAAGGTTTTGTCTCATTCCTGCTTAAAACCAAGAGGATGGAGTTCTCCTCCAGGAGCCCCAAAATGGGAAGAGATGAAGTTTTGCTGCCCTTCAAACAGGGAATTCCATGTGGCAGCAGCTCCAGGGGTGACTCCAAACCTGAAGGGAGGGCAGAGGGATGTTGATGGGATGCTTTGGGTGGCATTCCCTTACCTCAACTGCACTTGAATGGTGTAGTCACACTTGGCACCCGGTAGGAGATCTCTGCAAGACAAGAGAAGGGCTTCAGAGGGGCAGCAGCCCCACAGCAGGACATTGCCCTGAGTCCTATTGCGGCTGCTCCATCCCAAAGCCAGGCTGGAATGGGCTTGGAGCAACCTGAGCTCCAGCAAGGTGGCTTTAGGATGAGCGTTAAAGTCCCTTCAAACCCAAATTCCATGGGGCTTCCATGATGCCACCACTGGATGATGAATAAAACCAGTGCAGCTAAAGGGTAAATCCATGTGGACCTGCAGGCAGAATTCCCATGCAAATCCCATCAAACAGCTGCAAAAGTGATGGGAAAAGGAGGAAAATCCCCGCAAAACTTCTCCCTGCTGCTGCCTTTTGGGATGCCACCAACTCCAGCCTCACTGCAGACCCTGCCTGGAGGCACAGCCTCAGGTCTGGGATGAGCTGGAATAGCTGGAGCCCAGTTATGGCATTCCAGGAGTTACTTACCGGGACGTGAGGATCTGCTGGACCTGCTGGGGGGTGAGAGCGAAGGTGAAATGAGCCTCCTCGAAGCGCTGGCTGGTGCTGGAGGCTGGAGAAGAGACAGGAAGTGATTGCAAAGCCATAGGAACACCAAAGCACAGCTCGATCCGTGGCCAGGGTTAACTGGGAGCCACAGAGCTGAGCTTTTCCAAGCAGATATTCCATTCCTATCCCTATCTCTAGTAGGAAAACCAAGGCCTGGCGGCTTGGACAGAGAGGAGGTGACTCCAAAGAGCACCTCCAAGCACAGATTCCTCAGCAACGTGAGAGGGGTTTTGCTTCCCCAGCGCTGAAATGGAATTCCTGAGCACAGCAGGAACTCCAAGGAATTCTGACCATCCCCAGGCTTGCTGTTCACATCCAGAACCAACTCCCATCTTACAAGCAGGCCCTGCTCTGCTGGCAGCCTCCTTCCACCCAGAGAAAAACTGCTCCACCATTCCCAGGAGCACAGGGAGAGCCTGGGAAGGTCCAGGCATGGGGAACAGCTAAACCTGGATCTTCCTCCCTTGATGCAGAGTGGGGAGGGACCAGGGGGCTTCATCCCCATCCCCTCTCACTGTCCTCACGTATCACCACCTCCTCCACCCCTGCTCTGTTTGCCTTCCCTATATTCCAGATTCCTGGCATTCCACAGCCACCACGAGCTGAATGGAGAAGGTTTGGACACCCCATCCCTGGCAAGTGTTCAAGGCCAGCTTGGAGCAACCTGCTCCAGTGTGAGGTGTCCCTGGACGAGCTTTGAGGTCCCTTCCAACCCAAACCCATTCCATGATTCCATGATGCCACTGCCCTCCCTTGGGAAGGCCAGGGCTCTCCCGGCCACCCCCCAACATACCCAAGGTGGTGGGTTTGATCAGCTCATCATACACGTGGTAGAAGGGCAACCTCTTCATCGTGACATCGGGGTGCAGGGGGTGCACGGGGGGGGTGCCATGCTCCACATCCACCTCCTGCTTGGCTCCAGGCCTTGGAAGTGGGAACGCTGCTGCCATGGGGCTGGAGCTGTGTCCATAGGGAAGCTGCCTCTCTGTGGTGGGTGCAGGCAGGGGCCCTGCCTGCGTGTGGAGCATGGGGAGGTGGGAAGGGGACGGGGGCTTGCGGGGGAACCTCCTCCTGTAGAGCTCCTTAATCTTCATGGGGGCACTTGGGCTCCTGCTTCCTTCCAGGCAGGAGAGCGTGGAGCTCACAGCTCAGCACCATGTGCTGCAAGGGAAGGGAACCACCGTCACAAGGGCACCAGGAGCGCTCCGCATTGGGAACTCAAAGGTTGCTACAGCCCAACCAAAACCCCTTGGAGCTCACACTTGAACTAAAGCCAGGCTTTAAGCTCTCAGCTGAACCCCACTTTCAGCCCAGAAGGGGGCTGAGGTGTGGCTTTTCCTCTCTGCTTTCCAAAGGACACATTGGAAACCAGCCCAACACTTCCCAAAGGAGACAGAGCTGAGGAGATGCTGCTCCTGAGCTCAGGGGACGGCTTCTTGGAAGAGGAGCACTCATGGCCACGTGCTATGGAAGCACGGACCCACCTCCATGGGTGTATCCATGTGCTCAGCACTGCCCAACTCTGCCTTCAGGCCAGGGACAAAGGGTTAAAGCCAGGATCAAGCAGCTCCCGAGGGATCGGGAAAGACTTTTCCCTTTGGGGTCCCCAAGTACAACGCACTCAGTGGCCGCTGGACTCCGCATCCAACCCTCCTATAGAGCCCCACAGAGACCTCCTACGGGGCTCCTATGTCCCCTTTATTGCCACTGGGGCTGTGTCCACCCCAAACCTCATTCCAGGGACTCACTGCTTGCTTTAGCCTTTGGCAGGGAAGTTACACCCCATACCCAGCCCTGGCGGGGGTGGGGAAGGAATAAGCATTGACCCAACAGGGAGAAGGGCTCCAAGGAAAACCAAGCAGCTTTGGGATTACCAGGGCAGGAATTCCCTGTTCCACAGGAGGGCAAAGAAGGGGACACGCTCGAACTCCTAAAGGAACGACATGGAGGGGGATGAGAACCTGGCCCAGAACCCCCCTCTGCTCTGTGGGGCTGAGCCCCCCCGGCGCCCTCCCCTCAGCCCGGCACAGCTCTGAGCCCGCTGGCTCTGCCCCCATGATCCCAGCCCCTCACAATACCCGCCATGGGTCCCATAGCCCCTCACAACACCCACTATGGGTCCCACAGCCCCTCACAACACCCACTATGGGTCCCATAGCCCCTCACAACACCCACTATGGGTCCCACAGCCCCTCACAACACCCGCCATGGGTCCCATAGCCCCTCACAACACCCACTATGGGTCCCACATCCCCTCACAACACCCGCCATGGGTCCCATAGCCCCACATAACGCCCGCCATGGGTCCCACAGCCCCTCACAACACCCACTATGGGTCCCACAGCCCCTCACAACACCCACTATGGGTCCCATAGCCCCACACAACACCCACTATGGGTCCCATAGCCCCACACAACGCCCGCCATGGGTCCCACAGCCCCTCACAACACCCGTTCTGGGTCCCACAGCCCCTCACAACGCCCGCCATGGGTCCCACAGCCCCTCACAACACCCACTATGGGTCCCACAGCCCCTCACAACACCCACTATGGGTCCCACAGCCCCTCAAAACACCCGCCATGGGTCCCATAGCCTCACACAACACCCACTATGGGTCCCATAGCCCCACACAACACCCACTATGGGTCCCACAGCCCCTCACAACACCCGCCATGGGTCCCACAGCCCCTCACAACACCCGCCATGGGTCCCACAGCCCCTCACAACACCCGCCATGGGTCCCACAGCCCCTCACAGCACCCACTATGGGTCCCATAGCCCCACATAACACCCGCCATGGGTCCCACAGCCCCTCACAACACCCGCCATGGGTCCCACAGCCCCTCACAACACCCACTATGGGTCCCATAGCCCCTCACAACACCCACTATGGGTCCCACAGCCCCACACAACACCCACTATGGGTCCCACAGCCCCTCACAACACCCACTATGGGTCCCATAGCCCCTCACAACACCCGCCACGGGTTCCACAGCCCCTCACAACACCCGCCATGGGTCCCATAGCCCCACACAACACCCGCCATGGGTCCCACAGCCCCTCACAACACCCACTATGGGTCTCACAGCCCCTCACAGCACCCACTATGGGTCCCATAGCCCCTCACAACACCCACTATGGGTCCCACAGCCCCTCACAACACCCACTATGGGTCCCATAGCCCCTCACAACACCCACTATGGGTCCCACAGCCCCTCACAACACCCACTATGGGTCCCACAGCCCCTCACAACACCCACTATGGGTCCCATAGCCCCTCACAACACCCACTATGGGTCCCACAGCCCCTCACAACACCCACTATGGGTCCCACAGCCCCTCACAACACCCACTATGGGTCCCATAGCCCCTCACAACACCCGCCACGGGTTCCACAGCCCCTCACAACACCCGCCATGGGTCCCATAGCCCCACACAACACCCGCCATGGGTCCCACAGCCCCTCACAACACCCACTATGGGTCCCATAGCCCCTCACAACACCCGCCATGGGTCCCACAGCCCCTCACAACACCCGCCATGGGTCCCACAGCCCCTCACAACACCCACTATGGGTCCCATAGCCCCACACAACACCCGCCATGGGTCCCACAGCCCCTCACAACACCCACTATGGGTCCCACAGCCCCTCACAACACCCGCCATGGATCCCACAGCCCCTCACAACACCCGCCATGGATCCCACAGCCCCTCACAACACCCGCCATGGATCCCACAGCCCCTCACAACACCCACTATGGGTCCCACAGCCCCTCACAACCCCGTTGTAGATTCCTACCACCCCCCGCCGCACCTTCAGCTCCACCGCCGCCATCTTGGGACACGGAGCATTGCCGCGCAGTACCGCGCATGCGTCACCAGACCACACCCATTTCCCCTTAGTGCCCCGCCCACTTCCCTTAGTGCAGTCCCCTCTGCCTCCCGCCACGCCCACTCCGCCTAACCACGCCCCCAGGACGGAACTGGGAGGGATGGAGTCTCCTATGGGGCCGTATGAAATGTATGGGCCTGTGTGGGGTGTATGGGGACTACTGTTATATGGGGCTATCTGGGGCTGTTTGGGCCTGTGTGGGGTTGTATGGGGCTGGGGCTATATGGGACTGTGGGGTGTATGGGGACTACTGTTATATGGGGCTATCTGGGGCTGTTTGGGCCTGTGTGGGGCTGTATGGGGCTGGGGCTATATGGGACTGTGTGGGGTGTATGGGGACTACTGTTATATGGGGCTATCTGGGGCTGTTTGGGCCTGTGTGGGGCTGTATGGGGCTGGGGCTATATGGGACTGTGTGGGGCTGTATGGGGACTACTGTTATATGGGGCTATCTGGGGCTGTATGGAGTTGTATGGGGCTGTGTGTGGCTATATGAGGCTGTATGCAGATATATGGGGCTGTTTGGGGCTGTATGGGGCTGTGTGGGGCTATATGGAGCTATATGGGTCTATATGGGGACAAGCACTATATGAAGCTCTGTGGGGCTATGAGGCTCTTTGGGGCTCTATGGGGACTTGGTGCTATATGGCACTCTATGGGATCAGTCCTATTTGTGCCCACCCCTGGCCTGGCTCCCAAACCCACCCCGGGTACCCCCATGGAGCAGGACCCTCGCTCCCAGCCAGGACCCTCACGCTGCCACAGCCGGATGCAGCCAGGGACAGGGAACATGGGATGGGACCAGGCAGCTTTGCCCATTTAATGCCTTAGTGGGAGCCATGGGGCCGATCCTGCCCCTCAGCCCTGGGTGCGCAGGATGCGCAGAAGCATGGCGTGCACCCCCTCATCCATGAATCCCTGTGGGAGGAAGAGCTTTGCCAGGGAACAGGGACCCAAAGTGGGTGCTGAGCTCCGTATTGCCCAGCATTCCAGCTGGAATTGTTCCCCTGGAGCCAGGGCTTCGGGATCCCACCTGGGCAGCGTTGAGCAGATGGGTCCTGTAGATGGCCACGATGTCCCGGTGGTTCTTCTGCTGGACCTGGGAAGGAGGAGGAGGAGGAGGAGGATGTAGAGGTGGGGTTCTGGGTCCGAGGGGACCACAGGTGCTGGCACCCACCTCCAGTTGGAGCTGGAGCCGGGCGCTCTGGCTGCGGAGCCCCAGCACCTCAGCCGACAGCTTCTCTGTCTCCACCAGCAGCTTCTTCATCTGGAACAGGGATGGGGACAGCAGTGAGAAGGGTTGGCAATGGGGAGAGTGATGAGAAGGGAATGGCAGTGGGAAGGGGACAGTTATAGGGATGGGAAGACAATGGGAATGGATATAGGAGGGGAATGAGGATGGGAAGGGAATGAGGATGAGGACAGTGATGGGAAGGGGATGACGGTAGGGACAATGATGAGGACAGCCTCAGGAAGAGGATGGTGATGGGAATGGAATGGCAACGGGATGGGGATGGTGATGGAAATGGTGATGGGAACGGGATGGGGACAGATGTGGAAGGAGGACTGAGAAAATGATGGGAAGAGGACGGTGATGGGAAGGGAATGGCAATGGGAAGGGGAGAGTGATGAGGACGGTGATGGGGACAGTGTTTGGAACAGTGATGGGAAGGGATCGGCAATGGGAAGGGGAGAGTGATGAGGACGGTGATGGGAAGGGGACAGCGTTTGGAACAGTGATGGGAAGGGATCAGCAATGGAAGGGGAGAGCGATGAGGACTGTGATGGGAAGGGGACAGCATTTGGAACAGTGATGGGAAGGAAAAAGCGATGGGAGGGGAATGGCGGTGGGAAGGGGCCGGGGCCGGGGCCGGGCTCACCTTCCCGTCCTTGTCCCTGCAGGCCCTGGCGAGCTCCTCGGCCCTGTCCCGGAGGCTGCCGAGGCTCCGCTCCAGCCCGTCCGCGCGCTCCCGCAGCTCCCGCAGCTCCCGCTCCCGCTCCGCCGCCCGGCCCAGCGCCTCCTCCTTGGCCCTCGCCTCCTCGGCCGCCACCTCCCGCCAGCGCTCGGCCTCGCTCGCGGCTCCCGCCGGGATGCTCCGGTCGCGCAGAGCGGCCGCGGTGCTGGCCAAGCGCTGCAGGGGCCGCGGCACGCAGGGACCCGCGGCCAGCACCAGCTCAGCCACCGCCTCCTCCAGCTCGGCCAGGACCGCGGGCGCAGCGTCCCCATCGCTGCCGGGGGCTCCTGCTGCGGGGGTACCTTCGCCCTCCATCTCCGTGATGAGCTGCAGGGCCTCCTGCTGGGACCGCACCAGCCCGTCCAGTTTGTGGTGCAGCTCCCGCAGGATACCGGCCCCCGCGTCCCCGCTCGCTTCACGCACCCGCTCGCCCACTCCGTCCCGCAGCAGCGCCAGCTCCCGCCGCTGCCGCGCCAGCTCCCGCCGCAGCCTCCGCACCTCTCCCTGCGCGGCACCTTCCGGCCCCGGGTCCTGCTCCCGCAGCCCTCGCAGCTCCTCCTGCAGCCGCTCCCGCTCCCGCCCCAGCCGCGCCAGCTCCGCCAGCAGAGCCCCGTTGCTCTCCTTCAGCTCCTGCATCTCCTTCTCCGCGCTCCCTCCCTCCCCCGGCCGCTCCTCCCGGCTCTTCCCACCCGGAGCCGGCTCCGGGCGCGGGGCGGGCGCCGCGGTCCCGCTGAGCGGCTGCGGCAGCTCCCGCCCGAGGGCTGCCAGGAGGTCGCGGGATTCCTCCAGGATCTTGGCGTGGGTCTCGTCGGCGCGGCCCAGCGCCTGCTCCAGCCCCAGCACCAGCTTCTCCCAAGCGGCCAAGCTCCTCCGCACGGCCTCGGCCGACACCACCTCGTAGTGCAGTTTGCTCCTCAGGGCTTCCTCCACCTCCTTCCGCAGCCCCTTGCTCCGGGTGAAGGCTCCCACCTTCGCCTCCCGCAGCCGGGCGCACTCATCCCGCAGCCAGGTCAGGAAGGGGACCAGGGCAGTGGCCCCGGCCCCGGGACACGACCCCTCCGGTTGGTGTCCTTCACCCTCGGCCACCATCCTCTTCCTCAGCTCCTCCATGTGCTGTGTCAGCAGGGCCAGGTAGGCGCCATCCTCATCCTCACCCGACATCCCATTCCCGGCTCCGGGCAGGAGCTGCGCCAGCTCCCGCACCCGCTGCCGGATGCTGTTGGAGGCGGCCTCCAGCCGCTGGCATTCCCGAGTTTTCCTCTCCAGCTGCTCCTGCAGCCGCTGAACATCTCTCCCATCCTGCTGCTTTTCATCCTTGCCCTCATCCTCCTCCTCCTCGCTGTCACTGCCCGGGGTCCCCTCTGTCTGTGGCACGGAGTCCCTGGTGCAGCCAGCACCGTTCTCTGCAGAGAAGGGAAGAAACGATCACATTTTTCTCGCTTTTACCCCTTTTTCCCCTAAAACAAGCAGCCGGGTGGTGGGTGACAGTGACAGGGTGATGGTGACAGGGTGGTGGTGACGGGGTGATGGTGACAGGGTGGTGGTGACGGGGTGATGGTGACAGGGTGGTGGTGACGGGGTGATGGTGACAGGGTGGTGGTGACAGGGTGGTGGTGACAGGGTGGTGGTGACGGGGTGATGGTGATGGGATGATGATGATGGGGTGACAGGGGCAGGGAGACTCTCACCTCTCCCACTGCAGCGAGCGCGGCGCAGGAGCCGCCGGAGGGCACGGTTGGGGATCTTCTGCTCCAAGTGGTGCCACCGCTCCTCATCCCCCATGTCCCCGAGGGCCGCCCCATTGCTCAGCAGCAGCTCGGCCGACTCCAGGCTGCCGTGTTCGCAGGCCAGCGCCAGGGCCGTGCTGCGGAGCGGTGACAGGGGTGCCCAGTGGCATGGTGACAGGGGTGCCCAGGGACACGGTGATAGGGGTGCCCAGTGGCATGGTGACAGGGGTGCCCAGTGGCATGGTGACAGGGGTGCCCAGGGACACGGTGACAGGGGTGCCCAGGGACACGGTGACAGGGGTGCCCAGTGGCATGGTGACAGGGGTGCCCAGGGACACGGTGACATGGGTGCCCAGTGGCATGGTGACATGGGTGCCCAGTGGCATGGTGACAGGGGTGCCCAGTGGCATGGTGACATGGATGCCCAGTGGCATGGTGACAGGGGTGCCCAGTGGCATGGTGAGATGGGTGCCCAGGGACACGGTGACAGGGGTGCCCAGTGGCATGGTGACATGGGTGTCCAGTGGCATGGTGACATGGGTGTCCAGTGGTGTAGTAGCTTGGTGACATGGGTTTCCAATGGCATAGTGGCTTGGTGGCATGATGGCATGGGTGCCCATTGGCACAGTGGCATGATGGCACAGTGACATGATGGTGGTACAGTGTAACCCGTCCCTTGCCACCCCTTTCCCCTCACTCTTCCCTTGGGGCCAGGGGACATCTGCAGGGTGCACCGAGTGCCATCTAGCCATGACCCTCCACACGGGGCACAGCACAGGCACCCCCCCATCACCCGGGTGTCCCCTGTCCCCACGGACACTCACTTCTGCTCTTTGTCGGCCAGGTTGGGGTCGGCGCCGCGCTGCAGGAGCTGGGCGCAGATGGCAGCGTGGTTGCCCCTCGCTGCCAGCATCAGGGGGGTCTGCCCGTGCTGGGGGGATGCGAGGTGCTGTCAGCGCCCCCCAGCACCCGTTGGGTCCCACATGTCCCCAGGGTCCCCGCTTACTGCATCGGTGACGTCCAGGACAGCCTCGTGGTCACAGAGCAGGAGGACACTGGAGGCGCAGCCCGAGGTGGCTGCAGGGGCTGTGTCAGCACGGGGGGGACGGACACGGCTCTTTTGGGGGTCACTGGGACATCCCCAACCCTGTGCGAGCCTTCAGGGACCCCCCAGCCCAGCCCAGCCTGGTTTGCCCCCCCCTCAGCACTCACCAGCCCAGTGCAGAGGGGTTCGGCTCTGCCCATCCACGTGGCCCTCGTTGGCACCATACTGGAGGGGGACACAACGGGCAGCTCCTTGTCCCCATCTTTATCCCCATCTCCATCCCTAGCTCCATCCCCTCTACATCCCCAGCCCTCTGCTCATCCCTGTCCTTACCCCTATCTCCATCCCCATCCCTGTACCTGCAGCAGGACCTTCACGCACTGGGGCTGGCAGGCGATGGTGGCAAGATGCAGCGCGGTGCTGCCTGCAAGGAGACACCCTCGGGCTGGGCACCGGCACCCAAGAGGACACCGGGCAGACCCCCCAATCCCAGGGGACACCGCACCTTGGGGACATCACCCCATGGCACGGCAGGACAGGGATGTGGCCCCAGAGCTTGCAGCCTCTGGGTGCAGGTCTGGGGTACACTCAGCCCATCAGCATCAGCATCACCCAGGGACCAGAGCCTGGCTCCATGGGGTGTCCCCACAGTGTCCCCCTCTTACCATCATCATTCTTCTCATTGACGGGTGCCCCATGGGCCAGCAGCAGCGTCAGGCACTCGGTGAGACCCTTGGATGCAGCCAAGTGGAAGCTGGAGGAGAGTGAGAGGTGGCTGCGACCCAGGTCCATCCCCCCCCCCCCCGGTGTCCCCTGGGGGGGGGGGACATACGCGGATTGCCCCACGGCGTTCAGCTTGGCAGGACGCGCTGTCTTGCGGGCGGCGAGCGCGGCCACGCGCCCCACGTCCCCCTTCTCCACCGCTTCCAGCAGCTTCTGGTCCTGCTTGTTCCAGCTTTCCACCTGGAACGGTGGCGGCGAGGGGAAACTGAGGCACAGGCTTGGGGGGTGGGGGGGTGCCCCAGTGACCGCCCCCCCGCAGCGGCGTGGAGCCGTGCCTCAGTTTCCCCGCTTGCTGGGGGCTCCATCAAGGATGGGGTCGCGAATCCCGGTGGATCCCGGCCCCGGGGGCAGCCGGGAAGGGGAGGCGAGGCCGGAGCGTGCCCCAGCCTGCTCCTGCCCGGCTGGTTTGTCGGGCTCGGCCCCGCCGCCGTGCGGGGTGTGGTGGCACCGACCGGCGCTCGGGACCGGCAGCGGGATCAGCTCTGGGAATACGCACCGGGACGGGCACCGGCATCGGGGGCCGAGCATCCCAGTATCGGGGTTGCGATTGCAGCCACCCTGGAGCCGGGACTGGGAGTGCAGCCGGGGGCTGGATTGCGGTTGGGGCTGCAGCTGGCATTAGGGCTGGGGTCAGGATTGGGATTGTAGCTGGATTTGGGCTGGCATCAGGGCTGGGGTTGGAGTCAGGACTGGGACTGTAGCTGGCACTGGCGCTGGGATTGCAGCCGGAATCGGGACCGGTGTTGGGCTATAGCCAGCATCAGGGCTGGGGTTGGGATTGGGCTTGCAGCCGGCACTAGAGCTGGGATCAGGGCTGGGACTGCAGCCAGCATCGGAACCAGCTTTGGGTCTGGGCTGTCGCCAGCACTGGGGCTGGATTGAGGTTGGGATTGGGGTTGTAGCTGGCGTTGGACCTGGGACTGGGTTTGCAGCCAGCATCGGGGCTGGGGTTGGGAGTGCAGCCAGCATCAGGACCAGCGCTGGGTCTGGGATGCAGCCGGCATCAGGGCTGGGGCTGGGGTTAGAATTGGGATTGAATCCAGGATCGCAACCAGCAACTGGGGGGGGGCTTCCTCCCACCCAGCCCCACGGGGTTGCCACGGCAGCACCCACGGGTGCTCAGCGGGGCCGGGGCTCGCCGGGACTCACCGCCACCTGCGAGCTGGAGCACGAGAACATCCTCTTCATGGCGGCGGGGGGCGCAGAGCGGGGGCACCCCGGGACCCCGCGGAGCCGCTGCCGGTCTGTGGGTGCCGGCGCTGCCGCCCCAACGCGCGGCCTCCGCCCCGACACCTCCCCACGCCCGCGGCTCAGCCCGGGCTTGTCCCGTCCCGTCCCCTCCCCGGCCCCGCGGAGCCGCGGCCCCCCCCCGGGATGTGGGTGTCCATCAGCCTGCACCGGGCTCTGGGGAACACACCCCAGTAAGGGACACACACACAGAGCATACTTTGGGGTCAGATGCCCCAATACGAGGGACGCACACCCCATTTGGGGGGACACACACACACACACACCCCCCGTTTGGGGGGGACTCACATCCCATTTTGGGGGGGACACACACACCTCACTTTGGGGGACATACACCGCAGTGTGGGAGTGACACATATCCCACTTTGGGGGTCACACACCCCAATATGGGGACCCCCCCTGTATGTGTTTGAGACTCACCCCACTCACTGCACAACCTCCCCCCACACGGCTCCCTCCCCCCCCCCGCACATCTTGGGTCCAAACAGGGCTTTTTAATGATTTTCCACTCATTTTTCCTTCCTTTCTGGTACTTTTTACAGTTAAATTGAGGGGGAACCGAGAACCGACCCCAACCCCATGGCCTGCTGCCCACATACCCGGGGACCCCCAAAACTGGGGGGTAGTAGGGGCTGCATCCTGCCCTGTGCTGGGATCCCCCAACCCATCACAATAAATAAATAGATCCCAGCAGAGACGGGGGACCCCAAATTGGTCCCACCCCCCCCCCCCTCCAGCTCCGTAAGGCTCCCATGGGAATAGCAGCTTCCAAATCCCACTGTCCCCAATGCTCCCCATATGGATCCACGTGGTTATGGGGTGCTGGGGGTGGGGCCGGAGCTGGTCCCTAACTATCGGAGGAGCCCCCATCGCCATCCTTCAGCTCCTGGCTGCTCTCCACCTCCTCGGGAATATCCTGCATCCTTAGGAAATCTATGGGAAAACACCAAGTTAATCCCCCCACAATGGGAAAAGGGGGTGATCCTGCCCCCCCCCCGCCCCAAACCCACCTCGGGGGCTGGTTGGGGGGGAGCGGCGGCTTCCCAAGGCTTCATCCTCCAGGAGCACATCCAGGCCGTCGTTGCCATCCCGGAGCCGGTCGGGATCAACCCCCAGCCCGTATTCCAGGTCCTCTCGCGGGCAGGGGGCGAAGGGGGGGGAGTGGAACGAGAGCCCGCTGTGCTGCGGCCGGACACACTCGTGTCAGGAGCAAGCGCATCTTCACCCCTCCTCACCCCTCCTCACCCCCGGGTCGCGGCCCTACCTGCGGCGGGGTGAAGCTCAGGTACAGCGCGTCCCCTGCCGGCAGGCTCCTGCGCCGCGAGTCGGCTCCGCGGCGCCCCCGTGTGGTGACAGCGCCGTCGTGCCGCAGCGCGCCCAGCTCCCGCCGCGCCTCCTCCAGCTCCCGCTCCAGGCGGGCGCGCTCCCGCTCGCTGTCCCGCAGCCGGGAATCCAGCGCCGCCGCCTCCTGCGCCCGCTCCTGGCACTGCTGCCGGCAGCGGCCCAGCTCCTCCTGCAGCAGCCCGTGCTGCCGCTGCAGCAGCGCCAGCTCCGTCGATCCCGGTTTCTCGCCCACCCGGGGCGCCGGCTCGGCCGGAGCCGCTTGGGAGCCGCGCCGGGAGGGTTTGTCCGGAGCCTCCTGCAGCCGCAGCTCCAGCAGCGTGTCCTGCTGCAGCACCACCGCCTGCGGGAGCGGCGGCGTGGGCAGGGGCGCAGGAAGGGATGCGGGCAGGGAGATGCAGGCAAGAATATGGGCAGAGGGCTACAGCAGTGGGTAGGGGCAGGGGAATGGGGTCAGGCATACAGCAAGGGGATGTGGGCAGGGGATATATCTATGAAGGGGGATGTAGGAGGTGGGATAGAGGCAGGTGAATGTATATAGGCAGCAGAATGTGTATGGGCAGGGGCTATGGGCAGGGGCATGTAATTGGAAAGGGAAAGTGGACATGTAGACCAGGGGATATGGGCAGGGGGATATGGGTATGGGGATGTGTGTGGGTAGGCGATACAGGCGAGAGGTACAGGCAGCAGGATACAGTATTTGGAAAGGGAATGTGTGCAGGGGGATATGGGCAAGGGGATGCATGTGAGCCGGGGGACACAGGCAGCGGGATATAGGCAGGAGGATGTACGTAGGTAGGGAGATACGGGCAAGTGGATGCTTGTAGGGTGGGGATAGGGGGACGGATGTAGCAGGGAGATGCCATCTTGTCCCCCTCATCCCTGCAGCCTCGTCCCACTGACCTGGAGCTCATGCAGGAGGCTGTAGAGGTTCACCAGTCGCTGGTTGATTTCCTGCGGGAGGAGAGGACGAGACAGTGAATCCCAGGGGAACGGCAGTGGGGAAACTGAGGCACTGGGGGGACAGAGCCCCCCCACCCTTACCTCCTGCGGTACCCGCGGCAGGACCTGGTTGCCATTCCCATCCTATGGAGAAACAACAGTGACACTGTGGTGGTGCAGGGTGGGGGGGTCTCAACAGGGTGCCCCCCCATCACACTCACCCGCTGCCCAGCATCCGGATCCGTGCGGCAGAATTCCATGGAGCCATTGAAGCTGCTGGCATCACCGTCTGGATGATGGAGGAGAGGCCGGGATAAGCCCCATGGGAGGAAAGGAGAACCCCAAAGCAGCAGAGCTGGAACATGTCCCATATCCCATGTCTCCTCCCCCCTTACTGCTGGTGCTGGTGCTGGGGCAGGTCTCGGCCTCACTGCTCTGATCCCGGTCGCGTCCGGAGCCAGTGAAGATCTCCGTGAGGCATTCCACTGCGGGAAAGAAGGATGAGCCCCCCCCGTGCCTCAGTTTCCCCATCCCAGAGCATCCCAAAGCATCCCAGAGCATCCCAAAGCATCCCAGAGCATCCCAAAGCATCCCAGAGCATCCGTACCTTCCCGGATAGCATTGTGCATCAGCTTTTCCCCTCGGGAAGCCTCGGCTGAGTCGGAGTGGAAGAGGGAGCGTGGGGCCAGGGTGGGAGAGGGCTCCTCGGCACCGGTCAGCGCCAGCATGTCCGCAAAGAGCCCGACCTTCTCCTCCAGGAGCGCCGTCAGCTTCCGATCCTGCTGCAGGATACGGTCTGGGAAGGGGGGAGAGCATGAGCTGGGATGGGGAGGGATGAGCTGGGATGGGGAGGGATGAGCTGGGATTGGGAGGGATGAGCTGGGATGGGGGGACGGGGATCCCACCTTTCAGCTTGCGTAAAGATGCTTCGACCTCTGTCTCAATCAAGGGGAAGTCCTGTCGGCTGGGACAGCTGGAAGAGATGATGGGAAAAGAAGGGAAAGGGAGGGAAGAGAAGGAGAAATGATGATAGGGAAGAGTTAATGAGAAAGGGATGATGGAGAAGAGATGAGGGGAAAGAGATGCAGTTCCCCCTTCCCACCAGCTGCATCCAGCCCAGGCTCAGAGGCTCCAACTAGGAGCTGCACCCACATTCTTGCTCCCCATCCTTCATCCATGGAGATCCCCAAATCCAGCTGCCCCATCCCATGGGATGACACTCACAGCCCGACCGTCTGCTGGATGAGCTTCATCCAGTGGTTGCGGTCGTCGCGGGATGCGGCATGGACCTCGTACATCTCCGGTGGCGCGGCGCTGATCAGGAACATCCCCTTCTCCTGGTTGGCGATATCCCGCACGATCAGATTCTGCAGGGACACGACGGCCGGCTTGTCCTGCAGGAAACAGGAGGGATTGAAGGGACAGCCTGGCTGCCGTGGGGTAGGATGTGAGGGGATAGGATGTGGATAGGATGCAAGGGATGTGAGGGGATGGGATGCAAGGGGATGGGATGTGAAGGGGACAGGATGCAAGCGATCAGGATGCAAAGGGCCGGGTGCTGATGCTCACCAGCATTGGAAAGGTGTATTTCTGGTCCTTCTCTTGCAGGAAGATGAGGACATCGGTCAGCAGCAGCACCAGCACATCTGTGGGGAGCACAGGGAGGTGATGGTGAGGTGGGTGGCCCTTAGGCTTGCTAAGTGTGAGGAGCCCCTGGCACCCCTGTGCCCTGGCATCTCCATCCCTGGGCACCTCCAGTCCCTTGGTACTCACTCCTGGCACCATCATCATACCCAGATACCCTCATCGCCTGGTACCCTGACTTCCTGGCACCCCAGTTCCCCAGCACCCCCGTCCCCTGCCATCTCCATCCCACAGCCCCCTGCTCCCTGAGCATTCCCATCCCTTGGCATCTCCATCCCCATTCCCTGGCACCTCCATCCTCATGCCCTGGCATCTCTATCCCAAGCATCCTGGTCCCAGAGCATCCCCATCCCTTGGCATCTCCATCCCCATTCCCTGGCCCCTCCATCCCCACCTTTGAAGCGCCCGGCTGCAGTCTTCCAGAGCATGCACCCGCTGTGCACCAGTTTGCGGCGCAGGAGCTCGTCGCGGCCGAAGACGCCGGCGCGGCTCTCCCAGGGCAGCTGCACCTTGGCCCGGCCGTCCACGCGCCTGTAGACGTCCCAGAGCCGCGCGTTCATCTCGCACTCGTGCACCTCCTCATTGATGGATGAGATCAGCTCCTTCACCAGCCTCAGCGCCCGTGACAGGTCCGCGGAGTCGCCCTCATTGTCTGGAAGCAAAGGGGTTGGGATGTGGTCAGGGTTGGAGCCAATGGGTTTGTCCCATCCGCTCCCAATCCCAGTACCTTTGGAGTTCTTCAGGATGCGCTCGATGAGCACCGGGTACTTGGTGATCCTCTGTGTCACCAGCAGGATGCACTCGGGAACGCCGTGGCGGCGGAGCAGAGGGGACCGCGCCATCCTCTGGCCAGGAGGAGGAGGAGGAAGGGAAGAAGTGCCGTTAGCAGCGGTGATGCAGGGATGAGTCAGGGATGCAGGGATAGGGATGAAGCAATGGGGACACAGGGATGGGTCAGGGATGCAGGGATAGGGATGAAGCAATGGGGACACAGGCGTGGGTCAGGGATGCAGAGATGGGGATGAAGCAATGGGGACACAGGGGTGGGTCAGGGATGCAGGGATAGGGATGAAGCAATGAATACACAGGGGTGGGTCAGGGATGCAGGGATGAGGACAGTGATGCTCACCCGGATGAACTGCTGGAAGCGCTTATCTCGGGCCAGCAGGTCCTTGTACTCCTTCACGGCCTTGGTGTGCTTGCTGCAGAACTCCGAGTAGGCTTTCCTGAGCTGCTCCGCGCTGCTCCCGGAGAACTTGGGGACACGAGGGGCCATCAGCGAGGCCACGTGCGTGCCCCCCATAGCACCCAGTGCCTGCGCTGGCCCCTCACCTGGCTGACCAGGATGTCCCCAAGGCGGTTGATGACAAAGTTCTTGTTGCTGTCCTGGGCCAAGGACTCGCGGCGCCGCTCCAGGAGCTGCGCCAGGAAGCGCTCGTGGATCTGGCTCAGCTCGTCCACACAGGGGAAGATCCTGTGCACCGAGGCCGGGTCGAGCTGCAGCTCCTCCAGCATGGCCTTGCGGAACACGGCGCCCATGATCTTCAGCGTGCGGACGTGGTGGATTTCCGTCTGGATCAGCTCTGCCGTGGCATGGGATGGGATGGGGCGGGTGAGAGCGAGCAGCTGCTGCCATTGGGTGTCCCCCGTTTCTCCAGCTCCATCCCCGTGTCCCCATCCCTTCACCTCCATCCATGTGTCCCCGTTGCTTCATTCCCATCCCTGTCCCCTAAACTGTCCCTGTTTCCCCATCCCTTCATTCCCATCCCTGCATCATCTCTAACCCACCCCTAAGTCCTTTACTCTCTCCCTGTGTCCCCATCTCTTCCTCCCTTGTCCCTGTGTCCCCATTGCTTCATCCCCATCCAGGAGTCTCAGACCCTTTCATATGTCTCCTGTACCTTGTCCCTGTCTCCCTATTTCTTCATCCCCATCCCTGCATCTCTAACCCATCCTTGTGTCTTTTACTCTGTCCCTGTATCCCCATCTCTTCTTCCCTACCCCTGCATCCCTGACCCATCCCTGTGTCCCGCCCACCATAGATGACGTCCTGGCGCTTCATCACATCCATCTTGTGCTGCTGCAGGTAGCTGTTGTCCACCGCCAGGCTCCAGGAATCCGCCTCAAAATCCTTCCCGTCCGTCTCAAAGTCGCTCATCAGCTGGTTCAGGATCATGTCAGGACCTGCAGGGAGGGTGACACTGGGTGTGGGTGTGGGTGTCCCTGAGCCCCATGTCCCATCCCATGTCCCCCCATTCCCGTTGTGTCCCCACCTTCATCGATGAGCGACTCCACGGACAGCGTGCGGTTGCGCATGTTGAGGGAATCCGTGGACTGGGACAGGATGCGCCGTATTCCCAGCGGAGACTCATCATTGAACGTCCTTTGGATGGGTGGGAGGTGACGGGGACACCAGGGGACAGCCCTGGGACCCCCAGTCCCGGTTTTCCCAGTGCTTACCCTGAGATGTTGGTGGTGGAGACGCTTTTGGAGAGGGAAAGGGAGGGTCGGCCCCGGCGGGGGCCCAGCAGCGTTTGCCGGAAGCTTTCCGAGGGGTAAATGGCAGAGTTGGGGCGTTCCCGGATGGCAGCTGGGAAAAGAGGGATGTGCCATGACCCCCCCAACACCCCCCAGGCTGCCTATGGGGGATCCTGCACGCCCCTGGCATCCCCATCCCTGCAGGCAGAAAAAGGGATAGGGATGGAGAGATGGAGACATAGGGATGGGAATTAAGTGATGGGGACACAGGGATGGGTCAGGGATGCAGGGATAGGGATGAAGAGATGGGGACACAGGGATGCAGAAGGAGAGATGGGGATACAGGGACAGGATAAGGGATGTAAGGATGGGTCAGAGACCCAGGGATAGAAATGAAGTGATGGGGGGACAGGGATGGAGATGAAGCGAGGGGAATCGAGGCCTTCCTGTGATGTAACAGTGACGGGCAACATGGAGAGGGGGGTATCCTGTCCACCCCCACCCCCTGGCTCATCCCGTCATCCCATCCCATCATCCCATCTCACCCTATCACATCATCCCACCCCACTCACTCTTATTGCGCAGTGAAACCGACTGCAGCGCCGAGCTATTCTTCAGCAGAGCCGCTTTCTGTTGCTGCGGGAGGGGAGCGGAGGAGTCATGGGGGTGGCACCATGTCCCTGTGTCCCCACAATGTCCCCATGGGACCACGGTGTCACTTGTCCTGCCCGGCGCTCACCTTCTGCTTCACCTTGGTGCAGTTGGGCAGCGTGTCCTTGCAGCGGTTGTGGATGGTGACGTTGCAGGCTGGGGGGGGACACAAGGGGCAGGGAGAGGCGATGCAGACACCTCCCGCCACCCCCATCCCGGAACGCCACCAGGGCTGGAGCGATGGGAGCAGATGCAGCGGGAATCCGGGTGGATGCGGATTATGGAGCTGCAGCTGCCAAGGGAGCAGCTGAGCCTCTGCGGTGCCACTGACCACCCCCCAGTGCCACGGGACATGGTGCCACCGGCTCCATCCGGCATCAATGGGGATGTGCCAGGTCACCTCCATGAGGTGAGCATCTCCATGGAGCCAAAGCTGAAGCCATCAGCCTCTTGCAATGGGGACTGTGGCACCCACCCTGGCAAAGCCACTATGGCGAAGCCACCCTGGTAAAGCCACCATAGCAAAGCCACCCTGATACAGCCACCCCGGCAAAGCCCTTTTGGCTACTCACTGGGGCAGATCAGAGCTTCCTTGGCCGTGATGCTCTTGTTGCAGGCGAAGCACATGGTCATGCCAGACACGGTGATGGTGGTGAAAAGGTGGCCATTGGTGTAGCGGGCGTCCTTCTCCTTGCCCTCCTTCATCTTCTCCTTCTCCTTGCTCTGCCCGGAGAGATGCGGCGGGCGCCTGATGGGGCTGCGGCTCAGAGGCCGCCCCCCAGCGCCCCCAGCCCCACTTTGCTTCGGGATACGGCTCATGGATGCGGGAAGCCGAGTGGGACATGGGATCACCCGGTCCCCACTGGCACCCGGTGGGTCCTGGCCCCCGGGCATGGGGGGGCCGAGGAGCTGAGCGGCTGGAGAGAAGCCACCCGCATCGCTCCTGCTTCCCATCATCCCATAACCATGACAACGGGATGGCTGCGGGAGAAAGCCCCCCCCACATCACACCCCCCCCCCGCAGCCACCAGCCCCAATGGGGATGAGGTGCGGGGGCCGCGGTGGGGGGGGAGCTGACAACCGGGGGCATAGGCAGGCACCAGCCCCGCGCTGTCCCACCTCCTCTTCCTATCCAAAGTGGGTATTTTTACCCTTTCCCACCCAAAATGAGGCAGTTGGAGGCCAAAACCGAGGGGGCTGGTGGCCAACCCCCCCCTCCCCAATGGTGATGGTTTTGGGGTTCACCATGGGTTTTCCCCTCCCGCAAAATGGGAGCGAGCCGGAGTTATCCTGAGCACCCCGAGTGGCTGCTCCTGTCGCATCCAATGGACACAGAGCAGCCTTTGTGTGCCCCCCCCCCAGCACCCGGCCGTGCCTGGCACCGGGCACCCCCCAACAGACACAGCATCCCCAAACCAGCACCATCCCCAATACCCAAGGGGGAGGTCTCGCTCCCCATCACTGCTCCCACCCCCCCGAAGGGGGCGAGAGGCCGAGCCCCCCCCCAGGAAGGGAGACCCCGGCGCTCACCCGCTCCTCGCTGCACAGGGGTCCCTCCACATCCCCATCCACCGGGAACAGGCCGCAGGAGCAGCAGCACATCCCAACATCTGCCTGCGCCGGGCACGGCCCCCCCCCCCCCGGCTCCTTTGTGCCACGTTTGGCTTTTTTCCTTCCCTTTTCTTTTATTGTGCTTTGGGCTTGGTTGGTCGCTTGGGATCAGTTTGAATTTCCCCCCCCCTTTTTTTTTTCCTTTCCTTATGGCCTTTTCCCTGGTTTTCCTCCCTTTTTCTTTTTTTCTCTTTTTTATTTCTTTGTCCTTTTTCCTCTTTTATTTTTCCTTTCCCTTTTTCATTATTTGTTTACCTTTTTTCTTTCCCTTTTTTCCCTTCCCATTTTTCCCACTTTCCATTCTTTTTCTTTCCCCCCTTTTTCCTTCATTCCCACCCCTTTATGCTCCTTGCTTTTCCTCCTCTTTTCTTTCCCTCCCCCCACCTCCACTTTCCATTCCTTTCCTCCTCTTTCCCTCCTTTTCCTTTTATTCCTTCCCTGTTCCAGGCTCCTTCCCGTTGTTTTGATGTCCCGTCCCCCCGCCCCGCATCGCTCCAGCCCCGTCCCGGCCGCAGGAAACCGAACCCGCCGCCAGACAAAGGCGGGAGCCGCTTCCTGCAGCCACCCCCCCTACCCCCCCCCGCTGTCATTTGTCCCCCAACAACCGGCTCCCACCCGCCCCAAGGGGGGGCTGGGGGGCCCCGAGGGGCTGTGGCTGCCCCCCAGGACGGGAATGGGGCGAATCCCACACCGGGACCCCGCGGCACCGGCTCCGAACCCAGCCGGGTCGGGGACAAAAGGCCAGGCGGGGGGGTTGGAGGCCCCGGTGGTGGGACACGGAAGCTCGGCACGACAAGGGGTGACAGGGGTGCAGTGACCCCCCCAAGCCCGGCCCTGAGTGCAGCAGCGGGTTTGGGGGTGTCCGGCTGCACCCCATGGCTTGGGGGGCACATCAGACACAGGTCACGGCATGACTCTATATATACGTATATATATGTATATGCATGCGCACCGGGGGGACCCCCAAAACACACGGGGGTGCCTGGGGGTCCCAACAACCCTGCAACCTGCCCCCCCCCCCAGCGTCACCCCCAAACCCAGACTCCCCAAGCACCAAACTGGAGCCGAATCCCCCCATTGGGTGCCGCAGCTTTGTGGGGACAGCGGTTTTTGGGGGTCCCCCTCACCCCCCCCCCCCCCCGGCGCTGGTGGAGAGAAGGAAGTTTCTTCACTTTAAATAGAAACCGGGGGTGTTTTGGGGGGTTCTTTTTCCGCCGCCTGCAACGGGCGCGTTTCTGCTGCCGCCGCCGCGACTTCGCCCGAAATAGCCCAAATCCCGGTGGGAAAACCCCCGCGCCAGCCCCCGGAGCGCCCAAAATCCCCCAGTTCTGACCTGAGCGAGGGGTTTGTGTCCCCAGAACGGCCTCACGGCGCTGCCCTTCCTCGGATGGGGACGGTCCCGTCCCCCCCCTCCCCACCGTTCGCCACCCCGGCGTTGAACAAAGACAACGCCGTCCGCACCGTCGGCAACAAAAGACGCCGCTGCGCCGGGGCTGAAACCACGCGGGGATGTTTCCCCCCCCCCCCCCGAAAAGAGGGGGGGTCCCCCCCAAAGTGCACAAATCCTCCCGTTCTAACCCCAAATTCTCCCCTCTGATATTTGAAGCCACTGAGGGCGAGGAGGGGCAGCGTGGGGACCCCCCCACTCTGCTCTTTCTGGGGGAGGCAGTAGCAAGGGGGGGCTCTGCGATGCCGGGATTCCCCCCAAAAGCTGGTGCTGGCACAGGAGCGGGGTCTCCCCGCGTTGTAAAGCCACCGCGGGGGGGGGGGGGTGTCCCACATATCCTGACGGCTGTGTCCCATCCCTAAAGCGGGGATGCTGGCAGCCGCTCTGGGGAGTTGGGGGGACCCCGTCGGACCCCTCCAGCCCAAGGCCGGCGCTGGCTGCGGCGAAACGGGCATTGAGGAAACTTTCTTTAAACAAAAACCACCATTTCCCCCCCTTCGGCCGGCGCAGGAATCAACAACCACTTCCCCCCACCCCGCCCTGGTGCCATCACCGCGCCCCAAGCCCCACTGCTGAGCACCCCCAAACCTCCATCCACCCCATACCGGACAAACGCGCTGCATGCAAGGTTGGGCCACACCACAGGAGCCATATCGGGGGACCCCGCACCCCCAAGCACCCCCGCTGTTGGGGTACAGCGAGTTGCGCACTCGCCTTGCACACTCACCTGCCTCGCACACCCGCCTTGCACGCTCGCAGCGGCACAAAGCCCAAGTGCAGGCAGCGCTTGGCAGCAGCCGGGTCCCCTCCTCAGCCCCCCTCCCCACTGCCCGACGTCGCGATTGCCACATGCTCCGGGCCACAACGACGGTGTCCGAGCCCCCCCCCCCCCAGCTCCCCCGGCTCCCCGTGCCTCAGTTTCCCCATCGCCCCAAAGGCTTGGTCTCTACCGGGCTGTGGATGACAGAAGCGGGGTGCCGGGGGGGGGTCCCCCACGTCCTCGGGCAGCAGGAGGAGAAGGCGACTTCCTCACCACGCCACCGAAGGGCTTCGGCGGAAACGGGGGGAAGGCGGTGGAGGAAGTTTGGGCCGTTGCTTTGCCCCACGAGTTGTCGCCGCTGGGATGGTTGGTGGCGTGCGGGCAGGGGGTGATTGTCTTCCCTGGAGACCCCCCCCCTGCACAATGGGGAGCTGCCGCGACTCCCCTGTGCCCCCCAGCCCCTTTGCTAAGGGTTGAACAAACCCCACTCCGAGCATCACCCCATCCCCACGACACCCCTCACACCAAACCTGCCCCCACCAAGTCTCAAGCTGGATGGGGAAGGACAAACCCCCCACCCCAAACTGGGGGGCAGCAGGGAGGTTGCCCTCACCCGGGCCGGGGCGGATTTGAACCCCCCTCCCATGCTGGATGAGGGTGACCCCGCACCCCACCAGTAGACGCAGGGGAGCGAAATGCCCCCCCCCGAACACCCAGCGGGACCCACCTTGGCGCGATTGCTCCTTGCCCGGGCCAGCGACTCGATGCGGGACATAATCCGCGGAGCTGCCCCGCTCCTGCCCCGTTCCTGCCCCGTTCCTGCCCCGTTCCTGCCGCCGCCGGGCTCCGCCTCCCCCCCCAGGGGCGGGTCTCGCTGCCTGCCCCGGCCTCGTGTTGCCCGCGGGCCTTTGTTCGAGACGGGACCGGGCAGGGACTTGGCCGGGATCAAGCCCCAAGCAAGGATCGGGCCCCGCAGGGATGCTCAGCCCTTGTGCCCCAGCTTCCCTGCCTCCCGTCGCCCTGGCACCCCGGTCACCACCAACCTTTGGGGGACCCCGACCCACCCTTGGGTGCCACCAGCGCTAGAATAAAACAGCAAAACAATCCCATGGGATTCCAATCCCGCATTGCCCAGCTACTGCGGGACTCCCCACACTGCTCCTGGAGCCCCAAATACCCCCAAAGGGCAGCTCTGGGGTGACCCACGGACCCCATCACTGCATCAAAGGCCCAATGGGGCCTTTTCCCAGGCTTTTATTTCAAATCAATGCCCCAAGGGAGCTGCTCTGGAAAAAGGGATGGAAAGCACTGGTTCTGCCTCAAGATTCCCAACGGGAAGTTGGGCTGAAGATGATTGTACGGACCAGGAGCTGAGCTGACCTCAGCCTGGTTTAACATTAACTTGCCAGCCAGGAGAAGCTGGGATTTATCGAATGCATCCAGAGATAACGCTACGAGGTTGCCAAGAGAACTGGAGCACTGAGATGGCTCCAGGTCCTGCCAGCACCGGGGGTTGTGGCCGAGAGGGACGCAAGTGTCACCTATTAACCCCCAGGACGAAGCCACCCCCCTGCAGCTCCTTAAGGAAATAAGAATCCCGTTTTCCCTGCAATTCCAAGCTCAGCAGCACCCAACGTTCCCCAAGGGGACGGGATAAAGCCGGTTTGGAACTGGGAGAGATGCCGGTTTAACGAGTAACCACAACGATGCTGCTGTGAGGTGCCAGGGCTCCCTGGAAGCTGCCTCAGTTTCCCTCCTGGAATCATAGCCGGCAGCAAAGGGAAGGGCCACGTATGTGCCAAGACCCTGCTGGAAGCGGGTGGGATGCACCCGGCTGTGCAGCTCCCCCGGAAGACAAGAAGCGGGAACGAAACCGTTGGGAAAACACATCCAATGATCCAACGGCCGTGTTTGAACGAAAGCACAGCCCCGAAAGCAGAAGCAAAGCCTGGAGAGGCCACCCGGAGCATGGCAGGGGATGCGGTCATGCTCCCCCTTTGACCCAGAGCCTGAGGTCTCATTTCCTCCCGGAGCACAAACTGCTCCAGCCAGGATCTCCTCTGCTTCCCCCTTCCCTGAAGGGGTGAGGACCCTGAAACAGCCCCAGACCTGATGGAAATGGACCCAGACTGGGCAGCACGGGGCAGGATGTGACTGGTGGGGAGGCTCCAGTGGTACCGGGGGTGTCTGGTGCCTCTTCCCACATGGCAGAGCCACTGGAAAGCCCCACGAGCATCACGTGGGAGCTGAGGGCGAAGGGGGAAGCAACGGCTCAGCCATGAAGAGCCCGGAAGGGAGGAGATGGGGGTGCTCCACATGCAGAGGGGAAGCTGCGGGGTTCCCCCTATGAGGCCGGAGTCACCTTCACCCCATGTCTCAGCCCCCCATCATCACAGATCCCCATTGCAGCAAGGGCAGGAGCTGGTGGTGGGTGCTTGGGTGAAACCCACAGCAGCACCCCATGGCCCAGAGCTGTTCCCATCACTCACCTTGGAGTGGCTGGACATGGCTGGGGGCCCCCAGGAGGGGACGGTGCCGAGGCCCACAGTGGCAGCGAGCTTGGCTGTGGCCGTTGGGATTGTGCTTCCTTCCTGAAATAGCTCGTCCCTCCCCTCTGCAGCCTCCTGCTCCCTATGGCAGCTTCCGCACCCCCCATAGCCCCAGCTTGTGCCCCCAGAGTGGCTCTGGGTGCTCTCTGCTACCTGCAGACCCCTGGGATCATCTCTCTTGGGGTCCCCTCTCTTGGGGCCCCCACCTCTCTTGGGGTCCCCATCACCAAGCCTCCCTCCTGCAGCAACCAGGACCCATCCCTGCCACAGCCACTGCATGGGGGCCCCCCAAACCTGTGAGCACCCCTCATGATCTGTCCCACACCATGGCAGTGGTGCCACCAGCCTCAGGGCCTCCTTCCACCACCCTTGTGCCCTGAGGGGACCACGCTGGGGGGGGCTCTACCCTGCACCCTCTCTCCCTCCCATTGCTCTGCCTGATGCAATCACCACGTGCACTGCTCCGTCTCCTGCTGCACTGATCAGGATTGACACCCCCCTGCTTTTCCAACCCATCCCCTCCATGGGGAACCAGCGCTCCCAAGCTCTGGGAGCCTTGTTACAGGACAAACTTTGCTCAACAAAGACTTGGCCAGAGCCTGGTTTGAACAACTTCCTGCTAACTACAAATAGGGATACCAATGGATTTACCCCTGTTTGTGCTCAGCACCCAGCAGGATGGGACCACGCTGGAGCCGCGGTGCGGCGGGGGGAGCGTGGCCCCATGATGATGTTAACAGCTGGCGGCTGATCCAGCCGGGAAAGGGGCAGGATGAGCTCAGGGGCCAGTGCTGGGGATTAACGGCTTCGCATGGCAGCAAATCAAACCCCGGCCTGCTCTGGGGGGGGGAGGACCTCCATTCGTGACACAGACACCCCCCATCAGCCAAAGCACCCCACAGGCAGCCATCGCCTCCCGGTGAAACGGGGAAACTGAGGCACAGGGATGGATGGAGGGGGCTTGGCACTGACTGAGGCACGGCTTAGAGCATCAAATGACTCCAATCCCAACCCCATCCTCTCGTTCCAGGGAGGGAATTGTCCCCCGCCACCCGGTTTGCTTCCCGTCTCTACGCTCCGGGCTGGGAACGAGCAGGAGCAAAGTATCCCAAATGGAGGAACGGCTCCAGGAAGCCGCAGGCTGGAGCGGAGAGGCCCCGGGAGGGCGGTGAGCTCAGCGCACAAACAAGCATTCCCGACGCCAGGAAAAACCTCATTTCCTCCGGCCGAGCCCGACGAGTCCCGCTGGGAGCGCTCCCCCAGCCCACGGCGGGAAGGGGGGACCCCAAGTGTCCCCCACCTCGCCCACTGGTGCCCGTCGGGAATGCGGCGGCACTCGCCATTCCCTGCTCTGCTCGGCCGCTCCGGATGCACCGGGATGGTGTGAACGTGGGGATGGGGATAAGGGGGAAATGGCAGCACAACCGAACCCACATCAGCCGGGGGGGGTGGTGGTGTGGACACTGGAAGGGGGACTGTCCCCAACTTTTTATCTCCCGAAGGATGAAACCTTTGAAGTGGATGAGAAGGGGAAACTGAGGCACGGCTTCCCCAAAGAGCAGAGCACCAAATGACCCCAGTCCCAACCCCATCCTCGTGTTCCAGGGAGGGAATTACCTCCCGCCACCCCTTCTGCTTCCCCTCCCTACCTTCGTCTTCCCCGTCATCCTCTTGATGAAGCTGAGGGTCCTGCCCAGGGGGGTCTCTTCCCGGCTCTGGCTCCCGGCTTCCCGCTCCAGCTGCCCGCAGCTCCCGGCGCCGGAGCTGCAGGAGACGGAGGATCCAGCCTGGACAATCCCCCTCTGTCCCTGGAAACAGGGAGGAGCGAGCCCGGGCGCAGCACCCGGCACAGAGCCCCTTCTGTTCGCGGGGTGCGGGACGAGCCCCCCACCACGGGCCCCTTCCTTGGACACCCCCAACCGCGTCAACCCCCTGTAAGGTGGGGAGCGGGTTGCGGGGTGCTCCGGGCATGGACCCCACTTTCCCGGGTAGATAAACCCTGCTCCCGACCCTGGAGACACAGAGGGGCAGGGACGCGCAGCACCGTCCCCTATGGCTTGTCCCTGTCCCCGTTTGTTCCCCGCGGGGCTCCCAGCCAGCGACACCCGGGAACAACCGCCCTAATGAGGATGGGAATGGGCTGTGACAGGCGCCGCTGGCACAGTGTGATGCCAGCGGCGGGGAGAGAGCCACCGTCCCCACCAGCCTGATGCACAATGAGTGAAGTGTGTCAGGCCTCAGCCTGGCCCCGTCGCATCTATCCTGCGGCCATAACCCCTCAAAAATCCCTATTTTCATCCCTAAGTCTCCCCTCTGGTCCTTGAGGTGCTTTATTCACCCCCCAGCACACCTCACCCCCAACTCACCCATTGACCAGGTTCTGCTGCGAGGCAAAGAGGGAAATCTCTGCAGTGGGAAAAGAAAGATGAGAAGAGGGACCAAGAATCCAGTTTAAGCAGGGATGGAGGGGGGGGGGGGGACACGTAACGTGGGGTTGCCCCATTCCTGGGGGGATTCTGGGTGCTGCCACTGACCGTCTGCATCGGGGGACCTGTTGATGATGCCGAGAGATGCAGATTTGGAGAGGCTGTAGCTGTGGAAGCTCTGCTGGCTCCGGGATATTGGCAACCCCTGCGCATCCTCCTGCCAACATCCATGGGAAAGGGGTTGGCATCAGGGACACCATCTATTACCCCTCTCCCTGATCCCCGAAATAGAGCTTGGGCAGGAGCATCCTGCTCTCGGGATGGTGACAAAGCCACCTGGGATGAGGCTCTCCTCTTATCCAAGTTCATCTGTGCGTCTGTCCCCCCTGGCTGCAGGTGGGTGATGAGACACCCTTGGGTGACTTGAAGAGGAGAGGAAGGGGGCTCCTACCTGTGCCCACCGCTCGTTCGCCTCGGTCTGGGAAAGCAGGGACTCCAGGTCATCGTTGCTGTGGACAAAGGGGTTTCTCCGGGGGTCCCTCTGGTGACATCCCAGCCCATCCAACTGCTCCATGCTGGAGTCAATGTCATCAGGGCTCAGCCCTTTGGGACTCACTCTGCAGTGGGGACGGAGGGGACCCCGAGCTGGGCATGGAGGGGGACACACAACCAGGCCCCCCATCCCCATGGGGTAAGGCCTGCTCTAGCACCTGGCTTTTGGGGTACCCTCAAAACTGGTCATGCCTGGGGTGCCTGTCACCCCTGAGCATCCTGACACCCCCCTGAGTACCCCCACACCCTCCTGAGCACCCCAACAGCCCCTGAGCATCTTGACAACCCCTGAGCATCCCAATATCCCCTGAGCATCCTGACACCCCCTGAGCATCCCGACACTCCCCTGAGCATCCTGACACTCCCACCCCCGAGCATACCCATATCCCCATAGCATCTCAACACCCCCTGAGCATCCCAACACCCCTCTTGAGCATCCCAAAATCCCCTGAGCATCCTGACACCCCTTTGAGCACCTCAACACCCACCTGAGCATCCTGACACCCCTTGAGCATCCTGACACCCCTTGAGCATCCTGACACCCCCTGAGCATCCTGATGCCCCCCTGAGCATCCCAATACCCCCTGAGCATCCCAAAATTCCCTGAGCACCCCAACACCCCCTGAACGTCCCGGGATGTATTGGGAGGGCCCCGATGGAGCAGCGGGGAGGGGATGAATGGCTGGATGGGGACACGGGGCACGTCACTGCTACCTGAGGTGGTTGTAGCCGGGGCCCCCGCGCAGCTCCTTGCCCGGCTCCCAGCTGTGCCGGCGGAAGGGATCCCGGGAGCCGATGCGGAGGGCGCAGGATCGCCGCAACGGCACCGCTTGGACACGGTCCTCCTCCTCCTCCTCCTCCTCCTCCTCCTCCGAGCCGCGGCCGGGGCCGGTAACCGGCTCCAGCGCGGACATGCAGCGGCGCTTCTGCCCCGGCAACCCGCACAGGGCTCCTTCGCAGGGATCCAGGAAGACATCGGGATCACCCATCCCGGCGCTGCGGAATGCAGGAGGGAAGCGTTGCGGGGGGGGGACGGACCAGCCATGAAGCGAGTTGGTGGGGTCTCAGCTCAGAGGACCCCCCCCAATAGATTCATCCATTGCTCCAGTCCAATCCCCAAATCCCAACACCAGCTCCATGCCCGTGCCCGAGGCATCGCCCGGGGCTGGAATATCCTGGTCCCAGCAGGACAAGGATGGAATGTGGAGCAAAAGCATCCCCCACATCAAACCTGACCCTGCCCAGTCTGGGAATCGTGGAATCACAGAATCCTGGAATGATTTGGATTGGAATGGACCTTAAAGCTCTTGAAGCTTCCAACAGCCTCTGAAGTTTCTGATGGCCATTAAGAGGAGCTGCCTCCCCCCGCGGGCAGTGTGTGTGCCCCCTTGCACTGCACGGGGCCCCCCGACCCTATACAAATATGGCCGGGGGGGAGCAGGAACACACAAAACACCCTCTGGGCTCCTCGCAGCCGGTTACTCATTAAGCTCCCAGGAATTCGGCCAGGATAAGAGCGGCTCGACCCAGGGGTTCTCACCGGGATGCGGCTCAGCCGCTACTGACACAAGCGCCCCTCCGGCACATTCCCACCTCCGTGAGCATCCTGACATCCCCTGGGCATTCTGACAGCACTCGAGCAGCCCAACACCCCCCATGGCAATGGGGAGCAAGGGGGTTCAGCCCCACGGCAATGGGAGCAGAGGGCAACGGGTGCCACAGCGCACCCAGGCCGCAATTCCAGCGCTCCGGTAGCACTTTGGACCCGGACAGGTTGGAGTAATGGATCCCAAGGGAGGAAGCAAGCAGCAAGGGGGGGGGGGGGGGGGTCTTCCTCCTAAAAGCCACTTGTAGCCAAGGCCACGATGGAGGCAGAAGCCACCCCTGCTTCGGGTGGTGTTCCTGGTTCCTTCCCAGGCAGAGCCGGATTCCCTGGCTCCAGCAGGGATTAACCATGGGCTTTCCAGGATGCTCCAATGCTGGATGGGGAAACTGAGCCCCAAGCGGAAAGGTGACCAGTGCGAGATGGGTTCATCCCATTGTTGTCACCATGGAAAGGGGGGATCCCGGTGTCCCATCCCATGGGAGCAGCCACAGCAAAGGGGTGGGGGGGACACAAAGAGGTGCTGCAGCACCCACGGGTGCAGATGGGGGCTCAGGGACCTACCTGCTGGTGACGCGGTCCCATGGGAGCCCTGCACCCCACTCCCTCCTCCTCCTTTTCCTCCTCCTCTCACACACGGGATCAACCAGGAACCACTTGGCAAATCAGATCCTTTTCCCCATTAACCCTTTGCCCTGCTCCGATGGACACACATTCCCATAGGATTCCCCAGACTCGGCCTCGTTCCCCACTTCCCTCCTCCTTTCCCCCCCTATTCCCTTCTGCATTGGGATTTAGGGTCTGACAAAGCCCCTCATGGGGTCTGACCTGCTCCTTCCTGACTCCCAGGGATCCTAACGGGTGGGATCATGGATAATCCATCACAGCCGGAGCAGCGGGTAACCCCAAAGCACGTTGAGCTGTGCCCCAGTTTCCCAGAGGGGGGGAATTCCTTCTCACTGTAGGAAACTGCTCCAACCCGGAACAGCCCACGGGATACATGGAGCAGGTCAGGGTGCGGAGCTGTGATAAGGGCAGGGTGAGCCAGGGTGACTCAGGCACTGTGTGCCATGGGGGCTGAACCCCTCTGCTCCCATTGCCATGGGGCTGAACCCCTCTGCTCCCACTGCAATGGGACTGAACCCACCCTGTCCCTTGCCTCTGTCGCTCCACTCATTATTCCTTAGGCTGCAGGTTTGTCCCATAGGGAATGCGTTTGTTTGGCATCCATGGGTGGCACCAGGGACCTTTGAGCAGCTTTGGGATGCCAGAGGTGACACCTACTTGGAGCACCTAGGGCCTGGCAGGGAAAGAAACAGGCATGGAATCATGGAGTGGTTTGGATTGAAGGGACCTTAAAGCTCATCCAGTTCCAAGGGCAGGGACCCCTTCCACTAGGGCAGATTGCTCCAAGCCCAGTCCAGCCTGGCCTTGAACACTGCCAGGGATGGGGCAGCTTCTCCATTCACCCTATCCCAGTGTCCCACCACCCTCATAGAGAAGAACTTCCTTAAATCCAACCTAAATCTCCCAACAGGCCCCCAGAGTTCCCCGAAACCATAAGGAACCATCAACCTACAGTGGGAGTAGAGGAATTCCAGCCCCACAGCAATGGGAGCAGAGGGATTCCAGCCCTATGGCAGTGGGGAGCAGAGATTTTAGCTGGAATACTGTTGGTATCAAGGAATGAGCCTTTTCCAACTCGATTTTAGGGCTGCAGCTCCTGCTGTCCAAGCACCCTCTTCACCAGGGTGTCCTTAGGGATGGATCCTGCCTAGATCCCAGCTCCAGCTTTACCCTTAATACCCCAACACACATTGTTGAAGATACAACACAGACAACCCCATTGGTGTCCTGTCAAAAGCTGCCCCCAACCCCACTGCTGGTATCAGCCGTCAGTTACCTTCACCATGGAGGTATTCCTGAAGGATGCAGCTTCCAAACGGAAGTGTGGAATGGACCAGGCCCTTCAGGATGAGCTTCTTTGAGCACCCAACAGCGACTGTGCCCCTTATCCAGGCCGTACAAAGGGTGGCAAAGGAGGAATCCTGGCTTGGAAAACATCGTTGTCGTGACAAAGGCACAGTGTTCGCTCCGGCACCGCCCGGGATTTCTATCCACCAACACGAAATTCCCAGCTCCCAGCACAGGATTCCCACGCTGCTCCTGCCTAAACCTCAGGGCAAAACCTCTGGAAAGATGTCGGGATTCCACCTGGCAAAGGAGTTATCCCAGTTCCCACGCATCCCGGAGCTGCTTCCCATGGGGAGCTGGGAAGAGAGGGGGACCTGAGATTGAAGCCTGGGAAGCACCAGAAGCATCCCTATAATGGGTGCTAACACCAATATGCCAAACAGCAGAGGCCACAGGGAGGGATTTGGGTGATTTTCCTTTGTTTTGATGAAGGAATAACCTCTCATTGCTGCTGAGAAGCTCTGGGGGATGCTGAACCTAGCACACCATCACTTGGGGTTCAGCTCTTCCAAAGCTCCTGGCCCCAATCCCACAGCACCATGGAGGAAACTGGGATGGAAATGGCTCTTTGCATGGTGTTTTCTTCTGGATAATGGCCATGGGTTGACTACAATCCAAGTCACCCCACAAACAGGCATTGGGCTGGGTCGGCACCATCCTTGTGGTGCCATTCAATGGCATTTTATGGCAGGGGGCTGGAACTGGATGGTCTTTAGGTCCTTTCCAACCCAAACCATTCTACGATCCTATTAACTGCAAGATACCCACAAAGGGAGCTCCTTGCCTGGAGGAACTGGCTTTATGAGGTGAAAATGCACTGGGACAGGGAGGAGAATACCAGGGGATTGCAGGAGAAGGAAGCTGCAGGAGGAGGAAATGGGATGTCAGGAAAGCTCCTGGAGCCAAGAAAGAGCTTCTGTGCGCTGGGGGAAGGAGCATCACGAGGGGAACCACGAGGAGCCACCAGCCAGGGCCAACGTGAGGGCAAGGAAAGGCAAATCCCAGGCTCGGACCTGGTGGGAAGCTCCAAGCTGGGCTCACCCCAGCCCTGAAGGCACACAGAGGTGCAGATCTCATCCTCCTGTTGACCCTGAGGAGTCTGAGGTGAGGGGTTCAGGAGACCCAAAGAGCCCCAACAGTCGGGGGTGGGGGGGAGGAGACTGATGCCAAAAGCTTCCAGACCTGAGGCCGTGTCCAGGGGTCCCTGTGGGCTCCAGGCTCTGCTCTGGGCTCTGGTTAAAGGCTTTAGAGCATTCAAAGACCAAAAGAGGGGTCCCCGAGGGAGTAAAAGGCAGACGGAGCCCTCTGGGGCTAAGGAAAGCCTGAGGATGGGGGAACTCCACAGCGTGGGTGTGTTAGAGGGACAAAAGGAAGGGTGGGGTTGTTTTAAAGCCTTTAGGGAGCACAGAAATGTGAAGGAAAAGGGTTTTTGGATTTGCAGGCTCAACCACAAGGTCTTATGTGGAAACCTTCCTCTTTCCGAGCTGGTTCTGCCACCCGTGTTGGAAACCAGGGCTATGCTTGGTGCTGGTTTGAGCTGTTGGCAGCTGAAGTGCCAGGGAGAGCATCTATACTTCAGTATAATCATCCTCATCACAAGGACCTACATCCACATGAGATCACAGCTATCAGCGACTTCCTCTCCCCATGGCAGCAGTGCCATGGTCCACCATCCTCCATTCCCAAATCACAACCATCACTTAGGAGCAAAGCACCATTTGTGGAGGGGGGGGGGCAGTGCCAGATGAGAAATCCAGCCAGAATTCCACCCATTCCTGCCTCCAGAGACCAGATATTGGGTCTTGAACAGCAAAAGTGATCTTTTATTTCTCAAAGAACATGTGCAATTGCATCAGCATTGCTCGGGCAGGGAATGATTCCAGCACCAACCTTCACTCCAGTGGGCTTTCTCACATTGATGCTGTCAACCAGGAATCAAGCTCCAGCTTCATGGCATCATGGAATGGTCTGGGTTGAAGTGACCTTAATTCTCACGCAGTTCCAGAGGCAGGGACACCTCCCACTGGAGCAGACTGCCCCAAGAATCAGCGGAGGAAGAGGCTGCTCGGGGCGGGACTGAGGAGATTTGAGCCTCGGCGGCCACCGTCCCCCCCCCGCGCCCCATCCATTTGGTTCGTTCCTGGCCGGTGCCGCAGGGCCTGGTCCGTGCTCCCCCGGCAGGGCCCATGTGAGGCGCGGGGGGGAGCCGCGGGGAGCAGCCGCGGGGAGCAGCAGCGGGGCTCGGAGCCCGAGGGCCGCAGCCGGCGCTCCCGGTCCTCACCCGCGGGTCCGCCCGCACCGTTCCCAAGCACTGCGGGGCTCCCGGGGCCGTCCCACGCACACGGGGATGCGGGGCTCAGCCGGGGCCCGTTCGGGTCTCCTGGGGGCCCTGGAGGGTGTTCTGGTGCTCGGGACCCGGGGTTTGCAGCACGGCCCCAGCCGGGTATTGCCCGGCCGCAGAACGAGCCCCGGAGCCTGGTCCTTGCGTCTTTGGGCTCCGAAGCGGGCTCCCGTTGGGCGTTTCTGGGGTCAAAGCCGGGGCCGGGCTGGGTGGGGAGTGCTGGGCTGCGGGAGAGAGGTATTGAGGGGAGGGGCATCTCAGGTGGGTTTTGGGGCAATTTGAGCTGAGTTTGGGTAATTTGGGCACGTCTGGGGCGTTTTGGGTGGGCTTAGGGGCACTTGGGCAGGTTTCTACAGGACGGGGTCGAAGGCGGTCTAACCGACGCGGGGGTTTCAATCACGTCCGGCTCCGCCCCGCTGGGTCCTAGAGCCCGACCGCCGGACGCGGAGTCCCGCAGGGGGTTAGGCTGGAAGAGACCTTCCCAATGCTCCATCTCAGCCTCCCCTCCGGCAGATTAAAGCCTTTCCGCTTGTCCTGTCCCTGCTCCCACAGGCCAAGAGCCAGGACCGAAGGCTGCCGCTGGGCATCTTCTGCACATGGTGAGCTCCACAACAGTGCCACCAGCATTGCTCTTGCTTTCCCACTTAAAACTCCATCTAAGCAGATGCCTGTCCTTCCAACCCTAAGCCTAATGTGTTAGGACAAAACCAAATAGCCGGGCACATTCTATACAGGGTGCCCACCAGAACGGTGCTAGATATCCTCATGGATGTCCTCACCCATCTAAAACTCCATCTGTGTAAAGCCTCACTTGACAAACAGTGCTCTCCCCTGACCCAAAAACCAGCTCCCTAAGTGCGAACATCCAGACCCTATGATGCCAGCAGCTCTGTGCGCCAGTTTCCTCTCTCACAGACAGAGCAAGATAGCTGATGACCTCATCAGCCCTTTGGCCCAGGCACTTGTTTCTACTCATTGGGTAGTCAATGAGTAATTACCTTTCCTTCTGTTTTGGGCTATCACAGCAGCTCAGGAAGAGCAGAGGAGGCACAGGACTCATGGAAAGGTCTCAGACTAAATTCCTCTATAGACACATATTGACCCTTCCATTGTGTTATCTGTCTTGTGCTTATTTCTCCCTCCTTATCAATGGGTACACTCACATGAAATGCTTTGAAACACCAAATCAGGATTAGATACAGCTCATGTCATTGATGCCTGCTGTGAGCAAGGCATAGTCCAAAGAATATACAGACTATTTACAGGAGAGATAGAGCAAAAGGGGTTCTGGGTCGAGCAAGTCAGTACTGTTAGCAGTGCCTGGCCATTTGCACTCTCGGAGGTGTGCTCAGGGACGCCCGAGTACAGGCAATACAGAGGCAGTGTACAGACTGGAGTTTTAGGTGCCAGATCAAGGGTGGATGGCCACGTTGGTGGTACCGTTTGTTCTGTTGACAGACAGGGTACGCCACAAAGTGACCACACACTAGCTGTATAATATGCAGAGTTTATGAAGCAAGCACACTAAAGCCAAGAAGCACGCTAAAAGCAAGCACACTAATGTGCATTAGGTAATTATCCCTCTATAGAGTGAATAAGCACAATAAGGCAAATCAGAGATACAGGTATAGAAGTAAACTACCAAAAATCTTAGCAATGCGTTAGATCATGACCATATAGAGAGAACAGAGCTTAAGAAGAAACACATCACCAGTCGCCACCAAACCATCCTCCAGGCCCACACTCCAGCGGGGAAGCCCCGTTGCAGGCGATGCCGGCAGTCTCAGGTCATGGGGAAGCTCCTGCGTGGTGCCTCCACCCATAGGCGAGGCCTCACTTAGCAAAGCAGACGGCCACGCGAAGGTCCCGCTCGTACACCGCCGTCAAACAACGGCTTTCCGCCGGTTCTCCGACCGCTCCTCACGCCCTCAGCGGTGGCCGCACCGACAGCGTTGTCCCGGCGCCTCCGTGCGGCCAAGAGTGGAGCTCACAGAACGGCTGCGCCCGCCTGCTCTGCGCCTTCCCGACGCTCGCGATGAATACGAACACGGCAGAAGCAGCATCCTTTGTTACGGTTCTCAGCCATGGGAGGGAGTCAGCTCCCGGGTAGGTTCCCATCCGTTGCACCGTTCCAGAGCTCACGGTGTGTAGGTGATTGTGGGAGACCTTGTTTTATGCTGCTTGCCTTGAAAGCTCGTTTGTGATCCTGTTGATCTTGTTTGAAGGTTTACCATTCAGCCCAGCACAGCTTCTGTGAACAGATAACGAAAAAGCAGCCAACCCAAACCCGTCTGGACCAAGGTCAAGGCAGTCATGTCACTGTGGAGCATGTGCTGGGCATGGACAACCCCCATGGGGATCGCCCAGAGCAGATCAGACAACAGCAGGCGCATGGCTCGGGACAGCGCACGAAAGCGGTCAACAAATGAGTTTCCTGAAGTGCTCACATCCCGCCCCTGCTCTAAGAACAACGCGTTCAGGCAGAGCGCTGCTGCTGGGCCTCTCCCGCACACTCAGCCCCGCAGCGACGCCAGCAGCGCTGCTCCGCTCCTCGCTTTCCCACTGAGTCCAACCGCATGAACCGCCTTTGGCGCCCCCTCCTGGCCATCCCATGGCACTGCGGGCGGAGCGGGAACGTCGTCCCCTGCGGCCACAGCAAAGGCGGCAGGACCGAAAGCGGCTGCGGGGCCACTTCTGCACCCGCAGGGGGCGCTGCACCTCGCTCGCCTCGCCCGCCGCAGGGGGCCCGTCCTGCGCATGCGCGTGCGAGGGGGGGAAAGGGGGGGGTAAGCCCATTGGCCGGTGTTATTATGGGGGGGACACCTAAACTGACGCCCGCCCCCCAGTTCAACCCTTATGGAACCCATTTCCCATCCTCTTTTTGGGGTACCCCAGTTTTGGGGTCCCCCCCGTTTGGGTCCCCCCTTTATTTCGGGGTACCCCCATTTGGGTCCCCCCCTTTTATTTGGGGGCATCCCCCTTTGGATTCCTCCCTTTATTTTGGGGTCTCTCCCATTTGGGTTCATCCCTCCCCTATTTTGTGGTCCCCCCCATTTGAACCCCCCTTACTTTAGGGTCCCCCCCATTTGGGTTCATCCCTCCTTTATTTTGGGGTCTCCCCCTATTTTAATCCCCCCCTTACTTTAAAGTCCCCCCTATTTGGGTTCCCCCCTTATTTAGGGGTCCCCCCATTTGGGTTCATCAGTCCCCTATTTTGGGGTCATCCCGCCCCCCCATTTGGATCCCCCCTATTTTGGGGTCTCCCCATCTTTGGGTCCTCCCTATTTTAACTCCCTCCCCCCCCCATTTTGGGGTCCCCCCATCCAATTTGTGTCTGTTTCCCCCCATTTTGAGTCTGTTTCCCCTCGTTTTGGGTCTGTTTCCCCTCATTTTGGGTCTGTTTCCCCCTGTTTTGGGTCTGTTTCTGATAGCAGAATAGACTCCACAACTTGGTTAAAGTTGTAAAGTAGGTATGCTTTATTCAGCTGAAGACGCACGGGGGATTGGGCCTCCAAAAGGCATGCGTGCCTCAGTGCCGTTTTCCTTTTACATTTATCCTGTAAAGATTAGGTCGCCCAATACGCCTATACATTTTCATATTCTATCCCCGCTTCGTATTATAATGAGCTAAAAGGCGCTCCACGCATGCGCAGTGCCTC